CCAAATTAAAGTCATTTGCCCTTGAACACCATTTGTACAAACAATGGAAAGAAAATGAACTTAATTTCCTCAATTCATATAACATCTTAAATCAATATGCTTTAATTTTGAACATTAAAGACATCAATGACATTGAAAGTTAATTAAAAGCATCACAAGAGTTTAATTGATTTGAAACGGAAGAGAGCTGAAAGGTAATTACATGAAGATATAAGGTATAACGCCCCAATAGGTTTTAATGGATGACCCAAATATTTGTTCTTTAAATTTTCTCAAAAGGTGTTCTCTCCTAAAATACATCATTCAAGGGAAGATCGAAAAGTTATGTCATAAGAACTATAAAATCCGAAGTTTATAATTTATGAAGTATAGGAGGCCTTCGACTTATCAAAATAAACCATTATATTTCCGTATTATATATCTTGCACGTGTTAAAGAAGTTTCCCCACTCACGTTCCTCTTCCTCTCATTTACAAAAGAAAATTAATGCAAATTCTTGTTTGTCACTTACATATTCTTTCCAAATATTTGTAGAAACGTGGCTGAAAATCTTTAATTTCAATGTGTGTCAGACATCAACATTTTAAACATTTCAGTAGAAAAAAGAATACTAGTAAATCATCTACCAAATAATGTCCCATGGTCTTGAATTCGTCGATAAATATCTGATAGAAATTAATAAAATTGGTTTTCTAAATTAAAGAACAAATGAGACCCCAATACTGTATGAAGATTTTGGTGGTTATATTATATATAGAACTTAACAAACAAGTGCTTCTGTTATAATATTTGCGGGTCTTTCGGATAAACTGCATTTTCTTGATTAATTCAAACTCAATCCCTAATTTATAGTGATGTCTATATATAACTTATAAATTCTCAAATGAAATTAAAAAAAATTTAATAACAAACAGTCAATCAATCTTTCCGATCTCTTGAGTAGCCTCAGATTCAAAAGTGACTGAAGCTAAACTCGATCGCCCACGTGACACAGTGGTTTAAGAGCGTTTGCTCTAAAGTCATCATTAAGAATGAGGAGTTGATCTTCAGTGGCGTCTGCTCTAGAGTCGTGAAGTAAGGTGTTGATCCTAACGTCGCGGGTTCAAATCTAACAGTTTTGACTGTTGCATGGGATGCAAAAAACATTAAAATGAATCAGGAAACATGCAGTTCAAAATGCCTAAATACAATTTATATAGTAGGTTAGGTAATAATGGGACATGGAGAACGGTCCTTCGGGATTTAAGACCTTACTTATAAATTAAACCGAGGTTCCGCGTCGCAGGAGGTGTTAGCACGAAAAAGAACTCTATCAGACTTACTCTTATGTCCTTAGATACCGAGTAGAATCTATTTAGGTATAAAATTCGCAGCTCTCCACCTGCAATGGGTGGTCTTTCAATATGAGTAAATATTCTCGAAAGTGTCGAATCAAAAACCCATGGCTAGATGGTGCCTAGGTATCTAGTATATATCCTCTCTGTCAACTGGTCACGTACTTGTACAAACAAATGTTTGTTTATAAACTCCATTTAAGAAGTTTTACTCTCATTAAGACGCCTAATACATTCTGTAGTATACAGTTGCCGGTAAAAGGCTTCAAATTTCAAAGGTGCACTTGGCATTTACGGCTTTTAAGAAAATGCGTGTCTGCACCTACTTCTATAGGAACCTCGGTTTAAAAATTCTCGTCCTAAAAAACCGGTCTGCACATCCTGCAAAAAAAAAAGGGTGGGGGGGTATTCTGAAGACGGAATATTCTGTAGTGTAAATGATATAGGAAGAAACCAATTCAATATATAAGAATATATCACGTTTTGTTAATGACGTCATATTTTAATTAAAGATTTGTTTATGATTTGAAATGAATGCGAAATGATATTTGTCATGAAAACATCGCAGAAAAATGAATCAAGTTTTATAGCACCGCATGACATATGCATAGATCGATGCTCGTATAATACATTATTTTGATGTACTTAAAGAAACAATAAAGATGACACTTTGACCCAATTCATTATTAATTAGATTTTTTCAAAGGGCGTCTCTTTCCTCAACATTCGTAATTTATCAAAATAAAAAATTATACACAAAAAGGCTAGCTGATTCAAATGCAATGTCACGTTACAGCTAAAATCCATTATAATAATTGGACCTTTTCCTTATAATTTTATAAATGTAAGCATATATATATACATTGACAGTTGCCTTAGAATTTCATTCGATCATGCGTATACAAATACTCTTTAAAAATATTTAGATAAACGGAATGTAACATTTCCTCTTTCACCGACCGATAACCATGCCATCCTGTTGACGTTACTTTTAGGCAAACATTTTTTGTTCATTGATTTTTACAAATGTAAGTCTCACTCCTCCTTTACACATTTCATTTAAACTACATGTAAATTGTAAACTTGAATGAAAAGATTCTCATAATTCAGGTTTTCTGAAAAAAAGTACATTTTCAAATGTAACACAGCCAAAGCAATGATATCCTCAAGAGTTCTTTTTCTATGTTTTAACTACACTAAAGAAAACAACAGAAAATGTGATTTCGCCGTTTTTGTCACTTTGGGGATAAATTAATTGATTTTATGTATATTGTTTTAGGTCTATTTCGAGATTTTTTCACGACGTCAGCATATACTGCATGGTGAAGGGCTTCAAAATTAGACCTGTACTCAGCTGTCAAAGCCATTGAGCATTTAGGAATCAATTGTCTTGCCAACGCCTGTCGTGACACAGGGCTTAGGTGTTTAAGGTCTCCTCTGAAAGACCTGCAACTTTCGCTTCAAAGTGCAGGGTATTTGGGAAGAAACAGTTGCTACCTTTTTAATCGACTTGTATGTAGGTCAGTCTCAGCCGGGGTTATAGAACCCACGACCTTCTGATCACAGAACAAGTGCTCTACCTACTTAGCTACCGTGACAGTGACTAGGTGTTTGCCACACTTATTTTGAAAATTGTATGGAAAGTCCTTTTGCTATTTATTCTGAAAATAACATTTATCTTGAATTTACAGTGATGTTTCTCATTTTGGATAGATATCTCGCTTAAAGACTAGAGATATCTCCCAAATTAAAGAAATATCGCTCATTTTAAAGAGATATCTCTCTGAGAAAGAGATATTTCCGATATCATTCACTTACATGTTTAGTGATAAGCCTCTTTTTCTAAGAGAGATTTCTCTCCACTTAAACGGACATCTCTTTCTCTTTGAGAGATAGTTATTTCGAGAAAAGAGATATCTCTGAACGTTGAAGAGATATCTCTTTCACCTAGAGAGATATCTCTTGGTGAAAGAGATATCTTTTTGACATTGAGAGATATCTTTCCAAGTTAAAGAGATATCTCTCAAAGTAAAAGAGATATCTTTCTTAGTTTATCTTAAGAGATATCTCTCGAAGTGAACGAGATATCTTTCAAAAGTGTCCAAAAGAGATATCTCTCAAGCAAAGAGAGATATCTCTTTATTGTAAAGAAGTACATTAAAATATTTTAAAATTCGACGTATTCTACATTATAGTTTTATTAAAATGACAGGTAATTCAGAGTTATCTAGATTTCAAATTAGTAATAGTTGATTATTTCATAAGTTGAGAAAATTCGGTCCATTGCATTTGAGATTTTATGCTAACTATCATTTTCCTGAATATTAAACTTTCAGTATGTTTCTCAATGAAGGTGCCATTATTATTTGTTGTTTCAAAAAAGGCATTTATTATAGCATTTTTGTCAACATAGTACATATATTATTCTGGGTATGACGTACTCAGTCTTTCTTCTCATAACCGCGAAATTATTCTTGGGAACTTTATAATTACTTCCTGTCTCGCTTTCGTGTGAAAGGGGAGAATAATCATTTTATTTTAAAGATCACTGGAAAAGAGATATCACTTTCATTAAAGGAGATGTCTCTTCAGCTTAGAAAGATATATCTTTTTGAAAATCTAAAGAGATATCTCTGTAACTAAGAAAGATATCTCTTTTAACCTTGTTGAAGATATATTTCTCTAACATTAAGAGATGCATGTATCTCTCTCGCTTAAAGAGATATCTTTCTAGCTTATAAAGATATCTCTCCAAGTTAGAGAAATCTCTCTTATAAAAAGATGTATCTCTTTTGTTTAAAGAGATATCTCTCTTAGGTATAAAGATATCTCCATTAGTCAAAGAGATATCTCGTTTAGTTAAAGAAATATTTCTATAAGCTGAAGAAATATCTCTCTTACTGAAAGAAATTTTTATTTCACGAATAAAAATTTGAAGGGCTTGCCATAGATATGGTTTTAAAATTTCACTTGAGTATTTATTGTGAAGAAATCCTTACTCAAGATCTATACCAACAGTTTTGACCTTTGTCCTTGACCTTCATTTACATGTTTTTATGAAAAAAACTTTGACCTTGTCCATAACATTTAAGAGATTTTTACTAAGGATTCATATTTCATGAGTATATTTTGTCATCCTTCCCTTGTGTACCATTTATTTTGACCATTTGAAACAGATGTTTCACTTACTTTTGAAAAAAAAAAAAAACCATCTCCATAACGGTGGGTGCTTTTGACGTCATATATTACAGGTACATTTCTTTTTAAGACCCAAGTCTTGAACTTAGAGAATCAACATCTTTAATCCATAACGTATGACTTGCATATGAAAGACTTTCACTTTCTCAATTTAGCTTCCATACATGGACATCGTTGTTTCACACACACACACACACACACACACACACACACACTCACACACACACACACACATCATGTTTGCTATATATCAAAGAACCTCAGAACTTCTTTCTTTTTTGTCAACACTTGACTTGGTTCTTCGCCTTTTCGTCAATCGTATATCTTTTTCACTGGGGTGAATATTGATAAGTCACTCGATCTTTGCCATTTTCAAAACTGGCTTGAATACGCAATCCAGCTACCATATCCAAAAACAAAATGAAAATGATATTTGACGTTTAAAATTATGTCAAACAGAAAGGCAAATTAACCAAGAACAATTTATTTTAGTTTTGTATAAAGGTTATTTCTTTATTTCAACATGTTTCTAATACAACACACTTTTTGGATTAAAAACACAATAAATTATATAAACCATATTTTCTTGCATCACAAAACCTTGTACAAAACTTTTATATATGTACTCTTCAAATCGCATTCCACTCTTACAAACAGTTTAACAAGCATTAAGGCGTCACCTGTTAACACTACCGTCTTTGTCAAGACGTGACGCAAAAAGCAGAGATTCAAAACACTAACACATTCTAACAATTCTTTGTGGGGGAGAAATCTTTCTTCCCTCTCTTCTACATTGTCATCATAGAAATTCACATTAGATATATAATTAAATGCAACCATCGTTTTCTTGTTTTACTTTTACTACATATTCAGGTAATTGTTATAATACGGACCACGTATGCAAAAAAAAGAACCTTTTATTTATTTTTCATTGATGGAAGAAATTAGCCTGTGTTTTTTTTAAAATGAATTAACTTTATGTGTAGGTATCTATTCTGTAGGCGGATTGCTCAAAAATCTGGATAAAGGATCAAAATTTTTGATCGGGTATAGGATTCTCGTATAAAAGCAGCAGGGCAGCAGCCTCGTTTTCAACATGAACCAGCGTCACACGTTAGCAACATGCTTAATCTACACACAAAATCAAAACTTAATGGAATAGGATATGAAACACGTGTACAAGACTGAATACCTCGACAGACAGAGAAGGTGAAATTCCTAACATTCCTCGTAGACAAGTATATATACATGTAAATATATATACAATCAACTACCATACCATTTCTAGGACATGGTATCAGTTTTGACACAATTCAAATATGAAAGTAGAGAGGCGTTTATTTCAGGCTATTTTTCTATATATATATACATGTATATCACAATGTTTTTGACTAATAGTATTTTTTTTCTGTGCTTTTTTCTTTTCGTTTTTTCTAGTGTTTTCAGGCAGAAATAATCAAAATGCAGGATTTTGAAAATATGGTTAACAAAAAGGTATGATTTTACCAATTTTAAAAAATTTTATAATTACAGAACAACAACGACAGAGTGTGGGATATTATCTTTCTAACTGAAGAATTAGAAATCACGTTTTTGCAGTGAACATAAAAAAGCCTACAATAAATCTGCTCTTGAATAAAAAATATTTATCTAGCAGTTTGAACATATTCTCGTGATCATGAAAATGGAACAAAATATAATATACCACATAAATTATACATCATGATCTTTTCATTTGTTGACAACATGAACAGCATTTAGTATGCAATATGCATAACTTATAACAACGTGGAAACGTGATATTTGTGTCCAAAAATAAAAACAAATGCAACAATAACCCTATGAATAAATGGTGTTCACAATGAGTACTATCTAAACAAATCACTGCAAGATTAAAATGACATTGTACATGCATGCCAGTGTCTGATATTGGATATATATATAGAGAGAATTAAACACATAAGCGAAATCCCATCACTTTTCGCCGTTGTAGAACAATGTTAGGTGATTGTAACATATACACCAATACACAGAGGTTAGTGAAGAGAACCATCATGCCTTCAAGGTGACATGCCATATGACACTATGCTACAAGTGGCTTATGGGATATATATATATAAGTGGCGCGCAAAGTCTGTCCTTCTGTAAAAGTCGCCGAAATATCAAAAGTTAAACCCATGTAAAGCAGACATTTTAATAGTCTCGTTATCATGCCGTACTTCCGGTTCCGGTTGATTCTGGAACTTCTTTCCTGAAAGGTCTGGACTTTTTATGAAGTCTACAATAAACGTGAGAGAATTCTAGATTACGGCAATTCATCAGATAATAGGGTTGGCAATACAACTGTAGTCGTAGTATAGTGTAGGAACTCAAAGTAATCGTTATCCGAAAATTTACATTCTACATACTGTAGCTGCCTCACAAACTAATTCTTACAAAATATAAATATTATATGATAATAATCAATTTCGTGTTTAAGTCCACTATTTTTAAACGAACAATTTAATTTAAATAATATTACGGGACAGAATATAGTTTCAGCATTAGCTTGACCGTTTTATTGTGTTATGGATGTATTATTTTGAGAAAGGGAGAAATATTGATTACAGTTTTTGCAACTGAATATGTTTCCGATATTGCAGCATGCTATTACATACGTAAAATGTAATGTCATTATGCATACACGCTCATAAATTATGAGAATGAATATTTTAACAGCATCCAGTTTTCATGCAGAAAAGTCTTACTGTTTCTATTATGTGCAATTATCTTAAGAAAATGTTCAAGAATTAAATATAGATGTATTTCTGGGTATAGCTTCATCTGTTTCTTTTGTGTGCGTCCAAGACAAAAATAAATATGTTCAATTTAGTCTTATATATATATTCTAAAAATAGCACTATATATATTTAAAAATCAAGAAACTCATTAGGAGAATAATAAACATGCGAGAGCAAGTTTGCGAATGTTGGTTTGCATGAAAAAAAAGGGGGGTTATATAAAATATAGAAACATCTGATTTTTTTTTTCAAGAATGACTCGAGTCTATGGAATTTTTTTTACCAAAAGAGTAAATTACATAAAACCTAAATTCAGTATTTTCTATGAGTTTATTCATCTGCATATGGGATACTGTCTTGTCTTCCAAATAAAGGGGAGCGATTGTTGCCCTCATCAATTTCCGGCGAACTTGCCAGATTGGGTTTTTTAGAGATGGCGGACCTGTGTTGTGCCGATTGTAATGATTGAAGACTAATTACTGAAGGCCGACTCCTCTTATCGTAGCTGTCTAGCTGGGAAGTGTCAAAGTCCATTTGGAAAGCATTAACAACACGGATCTGAAAGAGAAAGTAAAGACAAGGCGTTACAGCTGCATGTGTGTACTTTGAATTTTTTTCCACTATGAATTTCAACTATCATTACACTTGAAAGTTACATTTGATATAAAAATACTCCCTTTCAGTGTATTTTCTTTGCTTTTCAGGATATGATTTTAAGAAAATGACAGATATATAATTTTTAAATGATTAAAATCAAGCTACATATTAGGCAATTGTAAACGAAAGTAGGGTAAACATGCACCTTAAAGAACATGCAAAATGAAAGTACACATGCTACAAGTTGGAAAACTGCAGTGTTGTCATGCTCATGTTGACAAACATTCCATACATTCTGCAAGACTACATCACTTCCAGTCAATGGTTTGAAGCTTTAGTTTCACATTCATGATTACAAAAACTGCAAATTCTTTTCAGTTTCAATCCGTGTGCCCATCAACATTGAGTTCAAACTGATTACATTATGAAGGTGTAAATGTGACCAACTTTGTTCTAAAAATTCATAAAATGCATCTATATGAAAACGTGCAGTGTGATAAGGGGTGAAATATTATTATACAGTGATAAAAGTACTTACAGATTCTTAGGGCAATATTTCATGTAGAATTAAGGATTTAGTCTATTTGTTCAAAAAAGAGGGGCAACTCTCACAATTCAACATAAAAGAAATACAGACAAATTATCATACATTTAAATTTTTATTTCTCTATTGTAATAAAACCCATAAACAAATATTTTAAATTATCTATGTTGAGGAATGTATACACAGCTATTTAACACAGCAAGGAATACAAAGAAATATACATTTTACATGTGGTTGTTTTATAAACAAACACAATGTTAACTCTTACATCCCAGTGACAAAGGTCTATGGACATATGCAATTCAAGTTAGGAAATAAACAATATTCTGAAATATCCACAATATGGTCTGATATATTACATGGACACCTGCAAAATTCTCTCTCTCCTTCTCACTCTCTCTCTCTCTCTCTCAGGTACACATGTATCAAAATATCAAATAATACACTCTTCTAAATGAAATTTTGTGCTATTGTGTGGAAATAAAACTAGATTTTTTTTTCATTATGAAAAATATATTTCAAATAAAAGAAGAACAAATCTTAACTGTTATTTGTAAAGCAACAGAAATTTCTTATATGCATGATAATATTGATTAAAAAAAAATTATGATATATGTATCTGAAGATATGTCAAAAGCATTTAATTATCAATAAATACATTTAAATTAAAAAATCATCTATTTCTTCCTTTTTTTCATCAATATGTTTCTATATTGTATCTTTGTATTTTACAGTATCGTACTGAAATAAAATTTACCTGGGCCATATTCTAATAAACATTTACAAAGAAATGAAAGTTTGAATGGAATTAAATACATGGATACATCAATTCATAAGACTTGGAATGTGAAATGTGTATTTGAACAAATTCCTCTCTTCTGAAAATGTTTTAAAACAAAAGAAAGAAATTCTCTGTGTAAACTGTAAACATTGTTAATTCCTAAGCTACACATCAGCAAAAAATACACAATCATGATAAATGACAATCAAAATGCATATCTAGAACATACAATTTTAAACAATGGAAAAGCCTCCCAAACAAACAGTATACACAATTTTAAACAATCGCGACGAAAAGCTTTTGAAAGCGTTTTTAATTAATAGAAAAAGAGACGGTAAGGACCAATTTGCTGCAAGAAATATTCGCGATGACGAGGCTCTCGCGAACCTCGCGAAAATTTCTTGCACGCGAATAAAAGTTGGTTTACAGTATATGTTTTGTTAAATTATAAATGAACAGAAAGTTATATTTTCTCATCACAGTCTAATGCCTACAAATTCACAAATCAGTTTCCATGCCAACTCTTTTTCCACACTTTTTGCATGGGAATGATTCAATACAAATGGAAGATGTATTGGTCCCTTCAATTTGTAGAAGAGCATTATCAACATTAAACATTGTACTGCAATATGTAATAAAGAAAAGGGCAACCAAAAATAAATAAAATTCATATTAAAAAAACTTTCATATAAATGTTAAAACCTGTAATAAAGCAAGGAATGTTTCTCTTTATCCAATATTTGTTTTGAAAAAAAAGCATGAAATTTTCACTTGATCTAAACAAATTTATGCAGCTTCATTTGGAGAAGTTAGAAGGCGGTTTTGGAGTATCTGCTAGAATTGATGGGACATTTAAGTATCCTATTCAATTACTGATAAGCACTTAATAAATAAATGAACCCAGATATAAGCAATATTTTAAAATCCACTATATCTGTTTAATGATCATTTCAGTAATGTCAAGTATGTCAATACATGTAATCTGTTGGGTGGGGGGGGGATGGGGGGGGTCTCTGATCTGATGCTGGATGCTGAACAATCAAAAAGGTTTTGACAGGAACAAAAAAAAATAAAATAAAATCACCTGACAATAATGGAAAAGGAGGATTGGTCATTTTCCAGTTATGCCTTCAGCTATCTATATATACATATCGAACATATAATTCATAAGTAGAATGCATTTTTTAGTAAACAAATGAGAGGAAATGACTACAAATCACAAAAACTAAAGCATGATCTCGTCATAACATTCAGATCAATTAATCTAAGCTGATCTAGTCATAACATTCAAACTGACCAATCAAAGTTGATCTAGTCAGTGCATTCAAACTGACCAATCAAAACTGATCTAGTCATTAACATTCAAACTGACCAATCAAAGCTAGGGGGAAATACATGCAACACTAATGTGATCACTGCACAGAGACCCAGTATAAAAAAATATGGATTCCCACTTTTCATTCTCCCTTCACACAAAAATGATACCATTTGCTGCTTTACATTATGATACAATAACTTGTTCAATTAAAATTACAGTGTTCCATATACAGAACAGTAGTATTTCAAGCTGAAAATGTTCTTTCCATGTTCAAAATAATGGGGAAAAATATATCCTTTTTTTAGCTTCAATGTTTTAGCATACACCAAAAAAAATTAAAGACTGTTCCCATGAGTTAAGAGTTAATTGTCTAATTCGGCACAGAAGCCGTTTGCCCCTTGAGTAACAGCATTGCTTAGAACTGTGATTCCGAGGTCCCTCCCTCGACAGCTAGCGGACTTGAGGCGGTGGTCACAGGTTTTCTATGCTTTTGATTTTGTAGAGAATGGTAACTGTGCATTGATGTTATGCTAGAAGTGTCATATCGTGCATCTACGCCCATACGGAATGCATTAATTACACGAATCTGAAAAAAGAAATTGAACACAACAAATCAGGTCGGGTATAAAAAGAAGTCGGGATGAACTACAATCTGCACAGTACATCTCAGCAATATCAACTCATGGTTAGTTCAGTTCCTTACATAAAAAGTTTGACATGAATATTTTGAGTTTTTTTGTGAGCCAATGCTAATCTTCTGTACATGAGTCTTATTGTTGAGGCATACTATTTTGTAAAATAACTTAAAATTTCTAGCACAACTTAAGTGTGTGGACTAGAAGCTACAGCGCAAGACATCATACAACAAAACAGTCTTCATATATATATATATACCTGAATCTGGGACGACAATACAAGGCCAGGGCTTTTGGACAATTGCACACAAGAATTGCAATGAGACAAACTAGAATACATACTTTGTGACCTTTCACAAATATGTCTCAAAGACTTAGAATTGACTTAGTTTAAAAAAAACTCAGTTTTCCCTTTGGAACTGGACTTATTATGTTTTGGTTTTAGGAATTAGAGTCCAGTTTCCAAATCTCTAGATCTCTCAATAAAACAGAAAATTCTTCACCATCAAGCAAAAGAAAATGTGATATGCATTTCTCTACACCTCGTATATCATTAGTGAAGTTTTTCTGTTCCATGAAAAAAAAACAAAATTCCTATAAAACACGTTATCATTCCTCATTTCAACACCTTTGAAGAAAAACACATCTAACACCTTTGAACAAATACATCTTGGTAAAAAAGGGGACTCTCTGTGTCAGGCAAGTTTATGACAAAGTACTAGCTACTAAAAAATCTAGGAAGCGTATTTCAATAATGTCTCTTCTGAATATATATATTTTTACAATTGTAAAAACTGTCTCTTTCCATGAAAGCACATCTCAACTATATCATAAAATAACATACACAATCAGTATTAAAAAATCACTGATCTATAAGCAAAACATCACAGCATACCCAAATTACAAGCAGACTGAAGACCATCAGATGTCTTAAATGTCTATGGAATAGTTTATTTTCCTTTAAATTTAGCAAGGAAACCCTCCTCATATAGAAGTTTCTGTAATACTATTAACGTCAGCATAACTCAGAGTCTTGGGGGAAGATTCCCTGTGGTTAGGGTTGGTGGGGGCCATCAGAGGTGATGGCTGTTTAGAGACAAGAGGAACATTTTCATAGGACTGGCTCTTAAGTCTAAATCCAGGCTCGGGCGGGGACACGGGCATTTTGGGAAATGGTTTTTCAAACGCCGTAGTTAACCGGCGACAGATTCGTTCGTGATGGTTTGCAATGGTCACGGACTCGCTCATGGGTCGGGGGCCCTGGTGCGAGCGAGAACTTCGCAAGCTATGAAAACTGTGATAACTGTTCACACTACGTTTTTCCTCCAAGTCCTCCAATGTGCTTTTAAATGCTCGGACTACCCGTAGCTGCCAATGAAAAGAGATTCACATTTAATCTGCAAAACTGTTTCTTGTGTCATGGTCTTTCCAAATTTACAAAAAAAAATTTGCTACTGAATGGAAAGCCACAACAATGAACGGGGCCACATTCACTAAGACACCTTGCTAAAACTACAAGAAACCAAATATGGCTCTGCTGCTTTAGGCTTTGTAGTTGATACAAGGTCAACATGGTGGAATGGAGTCTGCTGTACATTGAATAGATAAGAAACCTGAATGTTCCTGGAGGCAGGTGGAATGTAACAGAGACTGATGAACATGCTCGAGATGTTGAAAATAAAGGCCAAAACAAAAGAAAAATCAAGGTTGGACCATGGCTATGATATACAGGACGTAACAAAAACAGGTCAACACTGAGGAACTGTACAACACCAAAAACAATTGTTCTCTCTCTCTCACTGGGGCTTAACTTTCTCCCAAAACAGAAATAAAAACCTCACCCACTATCCAAACAAAAATGATTGGGACTAACACAACTGATTGAAAAAGGGGACACAACTAATGAGTTCATGATGTCTGTCAATGCATAGACAAACTATAATATCTCTAGTACATATTCACAAAATGTCTACAAATTATGATCATAACTAAGCTTCAGGCAACAAGTCTAACTTGTAAAGAAACAAATCCTGAAAAGATAAGTTCATCACTTCTATGAAGTTTAAATCTTTGCTAACAATGTAGATTTCTTTTATTGAAACTTTATTATTATTATTATAAAATTTGGATCTGTTCTTTGAAGAGGGGAAAATATATAAATTGATCAACTTCAAGATAAACTTGTTGCTATGTGCTTCTAATAGCTGGCCTTTTATCTAAACATTAAAATCTGCCCAACTGTGGTGACATTATCTATCTATTCTATATTTCTATCAAAAATGCTTTCAATGCACTTGCAAAAACTGATTTCTTCCATATGCTACTTAATTGAATATAATTTTATGCTGCATCTACTTTAAAGACAAAAAAATCAAACTAATATAATTAGTAGGACTGTGGAAGAAATTCAATTTAAGCTTCATCAATGCTCAAGGTAAAATTCCAACCAAAAAAAATCTAGAAAACTCAAAAAATAATTCAACTGCAACCCTGCAAAAAAAATCAACTCAATCGTATCACAATTCTCTGCAATATTCTACAGTTAGTAACGACCTGGCTTGAAAATGGTCAGTTTTCTCTCTAGGAAATAGTTTGGCACAACAATGGAGTATATATGTTTAGTGGTACAACAGAGTACACCAGGCAGCGACATGCCCTTACCTGCGTCTGGAGACGAGCGAGACCGCGGATCCACAGGATCTGTCCGCGGCGTCCTGGCATCCCGTCGACCTCTTCCACTTCCTCCTCTTCTTCATCCTCCACCTCCGGCGTCTTCCTCTTCCTGCAGATGTTCTTTGGTATGACAGATGTTGGAATAGTTGTAATTATCTGTCGGAAAGAAGAAATGTATTCAAAGCCAACCTAAGACTTTCTTGTTAACAATGATGCTGATTGTACAATAAATTTGCATATATTAATATCACTTTTTCTAAAAATTCTGTTGTTAGATTATGGGCATCCTTTTAAAGAAAAATTCATATTTATTTATGAGAGCAGGATTCATATTTCCTTGAAATGAAATATGAACTTTCATACTCAAATTTAACAATTTTAATTTTCCTACTTCAAATAACTAATCAGCAGCATCCTAGTTATCTCTCTTTCTGTGCTACCAATGACTGCTCACAGAAGTTTTAGCCAATGTACACTACTAAACTACTAAAGCCATAAATACAGCACACATTCTTTATACTTCAAGGAAATCAGATATTCAGCTTTAAAAATTCAAAATATCGGAGTTCAACTGTATTTTGTGTAATAGACTTACCTGTCCCCATAATAATGTGCTTACTCCTAAAAACACACACCAGAACCACTGGTCTAATGTAAGTGCTTTAGTGGAAAATACAGTGCCACCAAACTGTACTAAGATTATCTGAAAAAGAATTCAACAGATATTTAAATTTCTTTCATTTCAAATCCTCATCTAAGAAATATATCAATGACATATCTGGTAAGTTTCGGAAAGAAGCAATATTAGTTGGAAGATCAGATGATTTAAATATAAATTTTAAAATTTAAATTGCATTTAAATTTGAAATTCTTCAAAATAAACTCACCTGTGCTACAAATGTACCAATCCAAATTCCTATAAATACAGGATTTCTTCTTAATCCTTCCAAAATATTACGCTGCCCATGAATTTTTCGAGCATTAATTTCATTAAATAATGTCATCATAACAAATGTATTAAATATAATAGTGAAGTGCTGTGATGGAGGGGCGTGGATTTTCGCATATTTTCCATCATCAATTTCAAACAAATTATTTCCTGTAAAAGAAAAAGATAAATTTAATATTTGTCCTATGTGTATTATCTAAACACATGGATTTACATTACCTAAACAAGTATTTGTATTATCTTAACATACGAAGGATATTTTTTTCCATAAATTAAGATTTTTTTTATACAATTTTTTATATAATACCAGTAATCAAACTATATAGGATGATAAACAAAAAATTGCATTATATAAATTTGTTCAAATATTAAAATTGTCAACTATCATCAAATGAAATACAGACTGAAAAGAAACCTACCTGCAAATAATAGAACAAATACAACAATAAGCTGATAAATAGAATGTCCCAGAATATTTTTTGTCATGGTTCGGGATATGAGAGCTTTGGTTCTGCCATAGGGTTTTCTCTTGAGGAGTTCTGGGCTGGGCAGCTCTGTGGCCAAAGCTAGAGATGCCAGGGTGTCCATAATCAGATTGACCCATAACATCTGGATAGCCTTCAGTGGACTGTCCTGGAAATGGACAAAATGTCATTTTACAGATACAAAATAATTTTAGTATCACGAACATTCATACAATATATGCTGAAGTTAAAAATTCAAGCCAACTCTGTAATGTTATCAATTTGTATGCCTTTCTTGTATTTGATTTTGTATTTCCAAACATGAGGGAAATATTTCTTCTTGAAATTTGATTTTCTTGCAAAACAGACCAAACATGCATTTTACTACATTTTACTTAATTCAGTTAAGAATATATTCAATCACACTGTTTTTCAAATTGCTACAAGCACTTTCGCTTAACCTTACTAATAGAATATAATGAAATTTTCAATTATCCCCCCCTCATTACACCTTCACTGTCCCTTCTCTTTTCCATTAACAGCATTGCACCCCAGACTTACATTGATAATACAGGCTCCAAAGAAAGCCACCATCACAGCCACACAGTTAACAGTGAGCTGGAATTGTAAAAATTTAGCGATGCTGTCGTAGACATTTCTGCCCCACATGACAGCTTTGACAATGCTGGTAAAATTGTCATCTGTCAGAATAATATCTGATGCCTCCTTTGCTACATCTGTTCCTGAGATACCCTGAAAAATGAAAAATACAATGCAGTAGTTTGCTTAAAGTGGTTGTCAGTTTAGCCAAGTGTAAAAAAATTACCCAAAATGTGGTTCTTACAAAGATTTTAAAATCTATACAAGGATACTCTTTCTTTATAAATTATCATTTTATATCTTCCAAACAATTTTTTTTTAATTCCTTATGAGTAGTAATGGACCTGTCCTGTAGACAAAATATTTTTATTTAAAAAAAGCTAAAATACAATAAAAATAGCTTATGGCAAACAAGCTTAAAATGCACGTACAACGAAGTGATTTTCATTTCCTGTGGCTTTGAAACATGTTAAAAACGAAATCGTCAGTCCCTGGCAGTTTGTTATAAACTTATTTTACTGTATATGAATAAACTGTTGTTAATATATTGTTCCATAACCAGTTTATTCACTCATTCATCCCCTTTTCTTCCCACATGAAACTTACCATAGCAAATCCCACATCAGCTTTTTTGAGGGCGGGGCCATCATTGGTACCGTCCCCGGTGACGGCCACCACTTCGCGGCTGCTGGACTTCTTGCTGTCTATGATGCCTTTCACTAGCGTGTACTTGTCCTGGGGAGAGGACCTAGCCAACACTCTCAGGTCCGGCCAAACCTTATCTAGAAGTTCCTGGCTCACCTGAAAAAAAGACCAGATACATGTAAATATGCCCAACTCAACTTCAGAGGATTCTATGTTTAATGAAAATTTTCAGATTTTGAATGGAACTATACACCTAATCATTGTTTCAAAACTATTATAAATGCTTGGAGGAAATCTTTATATAAGTATTAATTTATGAATCAGCTGAAGTTAAAATTGTATTTCTTACAAATTAAAGTAGCTTTATTACTTCAGAATAATGTTTCTAAATTCAAGAAAATTCTCTGACAAGAGAATCTCTTTAGACATATATTTCTCAAAATATCTTTTATTTTCTTAATACATGTACAATAATCCTTTACAAAGTTTAAACTTTCTTATCAATCCATATTCCATATTTTTATCCAGTTGTTGAAATAGTTTGTAATTGTTGTATCATGACACAAATTGTATCAAAATACTGTATCATGATACGTATCATATCACTAACTAGCTTGCAAATAAGACAGTTTACCTCTCCTTTGGCATCTCTGATACGTTTGTTGAACTCTTTACCGTCCAGAACAAGGAAATTATCGTGTGGGGTCAGAATCCCGCATTTGGTAGCAATGGATCGAGCTGTGTTAACGTTATCTCCTGTAACCATTCTTACTGTAATTCCAGCACTCTGACACTGTTTAATGCTAGCTGGCACCTGAAAATAACAATAAAATCACTACAGAATGATTTTAATTTGTGCCTTTAAAATAAAACTGTAGTCTCCAATATAGTTTTGTTTCCATGATCAATACACAAGTATTATGACAGGCCTTATATGTACATCATCTCGGGCTGTTTCACATGCACCCTTTTAATGTGTAAGTTAGTGTGTTTCACTCATATGTTAAAAGCAACCTATCCATTATGCTAAGAATTTTTATTTGACAGAAGTTTCAATGATCACTGCTTCAGTTATACACCAGACCTACCTCATCACATACTGGGTCCTTGCTGTGGGTCCATGAAACTTAGATGAGCTCACTTTTGATCCCTGTCTCACTTTTACAAAAGAATAAGTAGTGGAAAAGTGAGACTGAGATCAAAAGTGAGCTCATTTAAGTTTTATGACCCTGGAGCCTGGATACAAGTCAGACTTCTACATTAGTTGTACGTCTGACATACCCCATCTCTGACCATGTCCTGGATATGGATGACCAGTATACAGGTCAGACTCTGTATATCAGTAGTATGACAGACCTACCTCATCTCTGACCGGGTCCTGGATATGGATGACCAGTATACAGGTCAGACTCTGTATATCAGTAGTATGACAGACCTACCTCATCTCTGACAGGGTCCTGAATGCCGACGACCAGTATACAGGTCAGACTCTGTATATCAGTAGTATGACAGACCTACCTCATCTCTGACTGGGTCCTGAATGCCAACGACCAGTATACAGGTCAGATTTCTCACAACAGAATCCTCATCTTCCCAGTCATGGTCTGGCTTCAAAATCTCCTCACTGTCCTCTGTCTTTGTACCTGAATATAGATACACAAAACACTGAGGGTAAATAAACAAAGATGTTATTTATATCTTAATTTTTTCTGAAAGCTATTACAATTACAAAATAATTCTGTTTCATATTTAATAATTTAATTTTTGATCAGTTTATACAAATCTGATATTAGTGTAACACTAACTTGAATCTGTATGGTAATCTTTATAAGCCACACATATAGTCCTGAGGCCGTCCCCTGCCATGGGTTCTATGACATTCTTGACAACCTTCTCCTGGTCCTCCATTGTGAAGGGTTTGGGCTTGCCATCACAATCCAGAATGTAGTTACACCTAAAGAAATAATTAATTGAAAATACTGTATAGGGGGAAAATAACTCGCGGTTTTAATATTCGCTATATTCACGGTGTTAACAAATCCGTGAATTCAAGAAACAGTGAATAATTTTCAATAATCTCCATGTTTTATTTGGAAATATGAGAATAGACTACGATAGATTTATATAGGTGTACGTGCAGTCCATGGTCATTTCGGTAATTGCGAGTAGTACTGTCATTCAATTAATTTTAATGATCACGCTTTACTTTAATTCAAATCGGCGGATAATAATTTGTGTTTGTTCAAAAGCTGTTTGAATAGCCAACGCTATGTTTCATCAATCAAAACACTCGGTCATGGGTTTTGATTACCCGTGCGTAACTAATGTTACCACGTGTATTTGTTATCTGCATTCTCATGAATATTGTAGTTTTTATCGAAACTTTGGTTTTAAAAAAATCATTCAAATAAATATCGAACTAACTGTCGAAGGAAAAAAAGTAGAACTACTCGGGTGCATATGCACTCATCGTATTAGCATATTCGAAAGTCCTTTAACGTTTAGGGACTATAAATAACTGCACATGTGCTATGGTATGGATTAAATGGAAACAAGGGAAGTAACTTTTATTACATACAAAATTCCGCGAATTCAAGAAACCGCGATCGTGTCAGATGAGAGAAAAACGTGAAAATTACAACCCGTGAAATTAATCCCCTATACAGTAGACAAATTATTTCTTTTAGAAAGTTAGAAAAATTTTTTTAAATATTTGACATAACCAGTTTGAGAAGCAAAGCTTTTCTACTTTCAACAGTAAAAAGTTACTGTTTAATTATCAGGTACCTTAAAATCAACATGATTTTAAATATGTAATATCAATTTCAATCTTCGTTACTTATATACATTATTATCATTTATCTCCATTTCCCTTCATCTTACTTTTTCAAGACAATTTCTGATGCCCCTTTCGTGAACAGCCTGTACCCAAACTTCATGTTTATGACGGTGCTCATGGACTTGCGGACAGAGTTGAAGGTGTAGACTTTAAACAGTGCTTCCTCTGGCACCTCCTCTCTGATTGGATAGTACTGCTGACCAAGGTCAAGGATAAATCCCAGCAGGGCACACTCTGTCTTGTTTCCAAGCTGCTGTGGGAGTCCCCCATCTTTGTCAGGCTAGAAAAAATTACAATTAAAATTACACATTCACTTATGAACATGATGGAAGTTTGTTCAAATAAATAAAAATATTTTTTTATGATTGTTTTTTGATAAACTGTATTTCAAATTTCTCACTTATATTTACAAATTTTTATATGCCTGAACGAAAGAATATGAACCTAAGATTTTCACTAAGATTACAGATTACATCAAGCCCAGAACAAAGTACATAAAAAATTGAATTCTTCAGAGCTCTACTCCTCAAACTACGATGAGTTTTCATACTTATTAATGATTGTACTTACAAGAACCCTTGAGGTGTAACCACTGTTGATGGCAATACTTCTGACAATGAGGTCCTGTAGGGGAGGGGCCAGGGAGTTGAAGTTAGGGGTACTCTTGTGATGGGCTCCTGTAATACATCAATACATTTTATAAGATATACACATTAAAAAGAAATCTTTAATCAGAAATGTCTAATTTTCCAAGTGTCCTTTACTTTCACCACAAAGAAGGAAAAGCATCAACACAAGGATCATATACCTGCTTTTAATAATTTTAAAGTGAGGAGGTGAAATTTTACATTTGAAGAGGCTGTCTTAGAATTATTTCCAAAAGTTCACTTAAATACCAAGAATCATGAAATTCTCAATTAAAGCAGCCAATACTGAACACTGAAATAGCAATGATTCACTTCTATGGCCCCTTATTGAAATTTTAAGCCCTACATAAGTACTGATTTGACTTACTGCCAATGTAGGACTGGACGACAGTCATTCTGTTGGTGGTCAGGGTTCCCGTCTTGTCCGAGCAGATGGCTGTGGCATTACCCATTGTCTCACAGGCATCTAAATGTCGTACCAAATTGTTGTCGTCCATCATTTTCTGCAATTTAAAAGTTTGTTTACCAAGATTAAAAAAAATTAAAAAATAAAGGGGGGGGGGGGTTAGATCTTTAAGATATCAAAATGTTTTGGTTTACCAAAAATTATCAAAATTTATTATCTGAAAATTATGGCATTGCCAGTTCTTTCAGATATCAGAATTTTATAATCTGATAATTATGGGACGGTCAGGTCTTTTAGATATCATTCATTTTGAGAAAATGGAGACTCAAATTTCTTCTGAACCTCATTTTCACATTCACATACCGTAAAATCCCTATTAACCGCCCCGGGTGCTTAGAAAATTGCAAAAAGGGGGCAGTTATTTTGGTATTCTCTTTATAATATTTAATGTCATATTTTAACTTCAAAAAAATCTTTTGAAAAATAAATATATAAAAGGAACCACTGAAATAATGTCTAACTTTACTTACACTGAAGAAAATCCACCCAAATTATGCTAAATTATTCATTTTCCATTGAGAAATTGGATAATAGACAAGTTTCATGTTCACTTTCAATTTTTTGGCACGATTCTAGTTAATTTTAATCACTGTACAGGGAGCCCTTATTTCCTGACAATTGAAAAAGATCCAAGGGGGCGCTTATAGGGGCAGGTGCGGTTAATAGGGATTATACGGTACATCTTATGTTGTACATATAAATTATATATATAAATAGGATGGGAAATCCCCCATTCTATATATATAACGTACCCTGACAGAATAGGCCAGAGCCAGTGTGACTGCCAGTGGCAGACCCTCGGGGACGGCCACCACCAACACTGTCACACCAATGATGAAGTAGAAGACGAACGTCTCTATATAGATGGCAGTGTCATCGGCTCCCCAACTCTTGCCCTCAATCCCAAACTCTATTACGCAGAACTTCACGATCAGAATCAGCACCACCAAAACAGCCACCGCCGTACCTAAAATCCACAGAAAACACGGCCTTAAAGCATTGCTTTACAGCATTAAAACACAAAAAAGGAGAAAGATCTAATAAAAGGGAGAAGTTTAAAATTAATTGACATCCTTGACATCCAAAATACTTGATAAACTTTTATTCTTCTACTGATACAGTAAAAGTTCACAATTCTGTATTTACAAATATTTATACATACATACTAAGGCCAACACAAATTTTACTATATAAATGCCTTATTGTGTACCTCCATATCCGATCTGAATGGCTAGCTTGGTCAGTTTGCCCTGTAAGACAGACTTTTCCTTGCGGGCGGTCTCCACTTTGGCTTTCTGTTCCTTCTCGTCCTCCTCTCCCTGATTGGCTGTCTTGTTGTTCGCGTTTGTCGCATTGTTGTGGGAATTGTTTCCCGTAATCACAGGCGTTATGGAATCAATATCTACAAATTATACAAAACTTTCACAACATTTGTTCTGGAAACAGAAATACTTTCTTTCCTTTCTGATAACATTTGAATGAATTTTTTTCTCTGATTAAAGCCTTATGATATGATGATTTGACGATACAATGTTTATATAATTGACATTAAGCAAGCAATGGATTTAACACTGAGTCCATGATTGCAAAGTGGTGTCTTTCATCCGAAACAGTCATGAAACTTGGCTTATAGCATTTATTTAGCTCTTTGAGCCTTTGGCTCAGAAAAGCCAAAAATTTAGGAATCTCACAAAACTTTTGAAAATGGAGCAAATTCACAATAGCAAGGCTACTCTTAAAAGTTTTATAGTTTTTTTTTTACACTTTCTCAAATAAATTTGGAATGGAACTAATCTTTAGTTAGCCACTCTGGTCTTAAAATTTCCCAACTTGCCCTTTTTAAAATCTTGCTTTTGAAATTCAACTTCAAACATTTATAAGTTTTCTGGACACCAGCCTTTGTTCCATGGTGGAGCATTAAAAGAAACCAAGAAAAAAAGTAACATACACATACCCACTTTTGTATCAGCATCACTAGAAAGCACTATGTAAAGAAAAGAAGAATAACAAAAATGAATACATTATCAAATCAATGACATTCAATATATGAATACATACATGTAATATATTTTTACATGATAATAATATGGCAAGGCTTTTTTCTCAAAGAATTGTACCTTCATTTGGCAATATCTAAGAAAAGGCTACTGTTCATTAAATAAACTGTATATAATCAAGATAACCATGTTGCAGTAAATTTTAAGCAATATATATGTTAACAAGACAATCAAGAAAATTTATCATACTTAAACCTGCAGGTGCTTTATCAATTAAAACTATTTTTAATCTTTAGTGCTGTGTATTGTGCTTATTAGATAGACATATACTGTTAAAAATCTACCACCCAATGTAAATGCAATAGGAAGTTGGCATGAGTTTTACTTATCATTCCCACTTTTTACCTGAAGCAGTGCGTTTTATGAAAATCAGAAATCACAGGTTCCGAAAAGTTCTATGAAATTTCTCCCCCTAAAATATTTGACAATTCTTTGAAAATAATTCCTTTTGAAGGGAAACAAAAAAGAAATTAAATACTATCTTCATGCCAATGAAGCAAAATATTTTCTGCTCAATTTGGTGATTCATTTTTGCAACATATATTCTCTTTTTTCTCTAAATTTTCATGAACAGCATCACCGACATGCAGTATAATTTCAATGCGCAAGTTTCCATGGCAATGCAGATGCATCAACATGCACCATCAATGCACTAATTGCACCAACTTTCATAATTAAAACAACAGTCCAGTTTCCTTATAAACATGCTCCATATTTATGCTTAATATGAACATTTTTTCGGGTTACACATGGCATATATATTTCCATGCAATTTCAATGATGTGATTATATGTACATGTTGTCATTATTATATGTACCTCCAAGATCAGTATTCAGTGAGGGCTTATAATTCTAAATGACAATATGAATGAACATATATAAAACAACCCTAAAGCACCTGCAATTGATACTCTTGATAAATAAATTCTTGAGTAAAGTAATTGTCTTTATATACGACAGCAATAGATCTGTAAAAATCATATATGTATATTAATTATTGTCCAAATGTTCTTCCATACAGAAGCTTAAGAAGTAGAAGCTTTAAATTTTAGGCACTTTTCTCAGAAATTTAAGATATGTATATTATCTGCAGAGACTGTTTGGAAGAACAAAATGTGACTCACTTAGTAATTAATTATCGTAATGTTAATTAATTAAATAATAATTGTTAAAAATAGAAGTAGTTTTTTCCACTTCATCTTACAAATGAAGTTTTTAGCAGTAAGTCCTTGCCCAATCAGAAAAATACTATGTCAGTTAAATTACATGTAATTATAAAGAGAGACTTCAAGGAGGCTTCAAGGTCTATAGTTCAGATGTTATATGTTCTTTCATCCATACATATTTGATAATGAAATGGGAAGTATTCTTATATTCACACATTTGTCTGTGTATGTGTTGGTTTGTGGGTGAGGGAGTGCGGTACAAAACAGAAGTGATGTAATTTGCATCTGGATCGATATGCTCTTTGTGAGGGGATGCTCCGCCTTGCATTGCCTTTGTTCAAGAATTCTTTTTTTTTCCAGTTTTTATATTTGTGAAGTTTGCTACTGAATAAATTCCATATAATGTTTTCATTCCGCATGTACCTAGTGTATTAGGCTGCTGCAGTGACTATACTCAAGCTTAACACTTTGCTAGAAGTTGCTAGTGCTCATGCACATACTGAATTGAAAACTTACAAAACCAGTACGTCATATTCTGTTGAATATGTGAATGCTTTGACTACTTTTTATGCTGGCAATCAACAATCTGCTTGCTTAAAAGCCTCTTAGTTACATGCTTTCACATGCTTTCTGTTTAATGCTTCTATAGCTAGTGACTGTCCTTTTTTTAGACTACACCATTATATAAATAAAAATCTTTACATTAAATGAAATTTTCTTTAAAAACTTTCTAATGTGGCTCTTGATCAAGTGAAAGCTTGAAAGTTCTCTGTAGTGCAAAACGCAGTGCTGACCTGCAAGCCTCCTCGCAGCGATGGTCTGAACTTCCTTAACACAGAAAAGCTTATTCACAGGCCTATAGCCATGCCTGCCTGTTTTTTTCCTGTTAGTGATTGGGCAGGACTCAGTCTTATAAACATTAATCTTTATTCATTTATTTTATTTTTAATTATGATAAGCCTGTTAGTTTGTTGAGACTTGCCATTTTTATAATATCTGTATGCTACAAAATTCACACAATTAAACAATATCAAATCAGAGCTGTTATAGATAAGAATATATATAAAATCAAATAAGCTTTGATTAAAATTAAGTTTTATTCAACTTTTGATATAAACATGTTTAGATATTTTAATGTAGGCAAAAAAAAATTAGGTTTAACACATATCTTTTTTAATAGTATGCAAATTATAGAGATTACAATTGCCAAAATAATATACACAAGTACACTCCAAACACTAAAAATTTAAGCATTTTTTTTTTATTTTAAAGCAAAATGAGTGGAGTAAATACCAAATACACACAAGCCAAAATGTTTAAAAATTATGTGCAATTTAATATAAGGCATATAGAAAAGCACTGATCGTTGGAATACATGATTTTCCTGTATGATAATATAGCTATATACTTGGCAATTCAACTTGCAATAAAATATTTATTTGAAATCAACCTATTCAATCCTGACTTTCGTTTCCTAGGTATATAAGCAGAATTTTACGAAGCATGTGAAGACAAAATCGTAAAACATTTTGTGACCATCTCATAAGTGATTTATAGGTGTCTGATAATTACACTTTACAACAATAAAAGGTAAAATTTCCATTTAAAACAATTTTTGCATGGATTTAAATTTTTCCCCTAACTTAGATTTTAAATTTGCCACCCAGCCCTTCCCGCAATTAAAAATTCTTTACGAGTTTCGATTTTACACCCTGATTACTTTCAATTGATTTAAAGACTATTAGCTATAGCACTTGTTTATTTTATAAACACACACACAACAGAAAGCCTATTATCTTGTTTTAATGTGCATATATTAATAATCACCATCACGAAAAAAAAACATATAAAATCAAACCCAAAACTGAAACTGCAGCAATCCACTGAATATTAAATAAATATTTTGCAATGCACTTATGAGGAATATGAAGCATAATGGTAAATGATGAAGACTTACATGGTGTATTCTGGCCAGCCATATTCGTACGTGTGCCTGCAAGCCAAGGCAGGAAGCATTCAATTATTTAAAATATTTCATAACCAAAACAAAGGGCACAGACAATGCTCCCTCCAAAGTCCCTACCATCCCCCTCAAATAGCTGGACCATCATCTCTTAAAGGGACACTAAGTTGTAACCCCTCATCCAGCCCCCTCCCCCCACCCCCAAGAATATTAATTCTTCATTATTATTCTTTACTTTCCAAAAGTATATCACTATAAAACATCAAACTGGAGATCATGAAAATAGCAGTAAGTAAATTTGGAAAGAGCTTTGAAGGATGTGGGCATGCTGAATTCTACAATCAAAATAATTTTTGTTTTATATAACAAGAGATATAACTTGCAACTGTATGTGAACATTTACTTAGTGATAAATGTGTAGGAGCATGGTGTTTTTCAAGTCTACATGATGACACAACATTCAACTCAACTCTTAAATTTGTCCATTCATATTTGAACCAATTACAGACTCTTTCTGTGGTGAATATGGTTTTATGGCAAGGGATCAAAAATTAAATTACCATAAAGCTCTTTGGGTTTTTTGGATTTCATGGGATTTGTCAAGTGACCATCCGGTACTTACATTGCAATAAAGTTTAATAATGATAAAAGGTTAAAAAGCTACCTAAATTCTTAAATATATTTAGTTAGAAACAACCAGTGTAAACACCATAATGAAGTTAGCCATGGATTAAAAACAGGAAATGGTATAGTGGGAAGAAATGGGTGGAAGGGGGGTTATAAGCTCTCTTGGGGGTGGGGTTAAGCTCTCCGACAAATCTTTGTCCCAGCTACATATGCCACAACAACTAATGACTGGTGTCTGGAATTAGTTTGTTTTTGATGGAGAAGACAATTGGGGGGAGCAGTGTCTGTACCACATACTAGTATTAAATACATACATGGGTGGTCATTACAGGATTAAAAAAAGTACAAAAAAAACTTTGGAACAATCAAATCGCATGGTAAGACTTCACTGTCTAGAATATTACAAAACTGCTATAGAAAATAAAGCAGGGATGATTTGAAGATTTTTTTGCTTATAGTCTAACCATGTGACTGCATGATTCTGAAGGCATCAAATCTTTTATTCATGTCATTTCAACAGAGGAGTAAAATTATTTGCTTTGCAAGATTCAGTGTTAAAAACGACAGAATGCTATTTTTCTCTTCAATGAGAAACACTACAGCTGCATGACCTTACTCATTTTTTCCTTCAAAAATCTCTCAACATCTCCCCCTTTTTTCCAATTTTAAAAAAATATTCAAATGAATAAGGTCATGTGATTTTGTTATTATGGTTACTAGACAACACAACACCTGAAGAGCAGCAGACAATGTGCAGACTGTAGAAAGACAGAGAGAGACCAAAAAATCAAGAATAAAATTGGGAGGGTGTGTGGTTGGAGCTACATTACCTCTATAAGATACGACTGCAACTGTTTTTAGAATAAAACAAATTCCCAGTAAAACAGGAATACAGCTCAACTGTATCTAGCCAAAATGGCTTCCCCATTTAAACCTAATTTGATCCCTCATCTCAATTCTGTTTGTTTCCAATTTCAGGAGTATCAAGAAGTCATTCATAATAAATATATCTGCTATAAACATGTTTTACTGTTGTAGTTCAAAGTGAAAAAAAAAAAATCAAATCCACAAATCTTAAAATGCACCCACTTAATCTTAAGAATGTTTTTTTCATTCCCAAAATACTTTATAAAACAATATACCCTATTACCAAGACTTTCAATTAACAAGAAATCAAAAATTTTAAAGGAAATCAAAAATTTTAAAGGAAAACTGTGTTTCAAACATTTCTGCTGCTGTTTTTCTATTTCATTTCTTAATTAGGCAGCTACTGAAACTAAAATTGTGTGAAAAAAAGGGTATGTGAATATCCAATATTAAGGGATTTTTGAAAGGACGGACTTAATTTGAAAAGATCATTCCTTTATGACACATTAGATAAAACCCATTCAATGTCTACAGCTAAAGTTTATAATGACATGAAATGTATATATTTTCAATCTATAAAGCGATGTGTTAGTTTTCAATCCAGCAAAAATGTTAGAAATCTACCATGCATCTGATTCACATCAATGAGTAAAACTTTTTTTTTTCAACACATCCACAAACACCCTGCATAATGCACTTAAAAAAATGCCACCTCTCATGCCAGTTGCATCAACTTTTTTTTTTTTTATTTTTGACCAAGCATGTGACAAACAACACATAATGCACAAAGTATGGTTTTGCTTGAAAATTGACAAACATACTAATTATAAGACAAAAGGTTTGCAATCCTTCTCTCTCTCAATTTGCTTCCCGGGCTTTACATATATATATTTCTATACACTGATCTAATCACATGCAGCCTAGAATTTAAGGTGATATGACATCATTTTAACACAACTTTTGGTGCTCATAGGTTTATGTTCCTTTATCTGCTGAAACTGACATTTTTTTTTTAATCTAGGATGAATTATTTTGTTTTATAACTTGGGAAAAAAATGCAATGTCATCTAACCTACAAAATCACTAAGAAATTCAATTTCTACACAGAAATGTTTCAAATCGTGCCATCTAATCAAGAGATGTCTTTCTCCTACTTTAAATATCTCATCAATAATGACTCCAGATGAAAATAACCAAGATTAACAAGATAAACGTGATTTATAGTAGTGTTGCCAAGGAGAAAGTGAACTAATGACAAATTATAAATCCTAATTTAATATCTTTTTTGAATCATATTAATTACCCGAGACATTTCTGTAGTTTACAATTTTTATACAACATGGGGTCAGCCACCTTAAATGCTAGGTTGAAAAACCTTCAAGCACCACATCTACACAAACTAAGACACTGGCTTGACAATTACATTCAGACTTCCACAAGAACAGACACAAACACACACAAAAACTACTGGAATTTGTTAATGCTAGCACTACATATACAGATTGGGGAATATAACACTACGGAAATCTTGCAAAAAATTGATTTAAAAAAATTATTCAACATGGGACAATATTCATAGTAAAATGCAAACCCATGTGTTTTAATGTCTTGGTACCTACCTCCGTTTCCTTCTTCGCCTTTTAACCTGTTTTTATCTTTTTTCTCCTTCTTTTTGTCTTTATCTCCTTCCTCACTTGAGGCGCCAAGGAGGGCAAAAATGATTCCAGTTTGTGAGTTGACCCCAACCGCCGTCACCAACATCTTCCCACTTCCTTCCATTACATGAGTACCTGTAACATTGAGTAAAATATATGCATAAAAATGTCTCCAAAAGTTTTGGGTCAACATTCCATATAGCATAGCTTTGTTTTTCCTACACAGTTGTAACATATAGTCATCTTAAACATCAATACCTTAATGTACGTCCTACCTATTTTTTTCATTAAAAAAAATTAATTGAAGAGAATATTTTTGAGGTTTATATATATTCATTCCTATGTTAATCTTTGATCTCCTATTGTGGCACCACCCACCTCCAGGGAGGGCATGATATTAACAATCAAGGCTTTGTTTATAATAATATGCAATCTCTGTTTCATCCTTGATGGACCATTTGTTTCAGTTGAGAAAATTTTTTTAAAGACATCCACCCCGTTTCTTTTCAATGTTTCAATCAAAAGGGCAACTACAAGTAGCTCTTCATCATGTTCATTTGAAAAACCATAAGATGTTTTGTGCCAATATAGATTAAATTGGTCTTGGATTTGAAGAAAAATCCGAAATGTAAAAAGATAACAGACAGACAACACATATTGATCAGAAGAAAAGATCACACGAGTCCTTTGTTCAGGTGAGCTAAAATAAAATCTATGAACTTCTAGCACAAATTTAGATAAATCATTTCTATTTTCAATCTAGAGAAATTTTTTGGTAAATGACTGTTTTTCAATAGATGAAACACACAAGATTTCATCTTTGATGTTATTTTCTCCGTAGATTCAATTCACCTGAGAACATCATGGGGTCAGTTTTGACCCCTTTCTTCACGTGGTCTGACTCTCCCGTTAACGAACTCTCGTCGACCTTCAAATCGTTACTCTGAATTAATAATCCATCAGCTGGCAACAAATCACCTGAAGAGAGAAAAAGAAACAAAAAAATTTTAACAGAAGTAATGAAAAATATCAAACAAGATCGTAACACTGCAATAGTATTAACAATAAACATCGCAATGAGCAATTCAAAAAGGCTGCTGTCGGCCCACGTGTGGAATTAAAACCCGTCATTTTGCAATTTTTGTAATAAAATAAGGCAGTTTCTGGAGACATCACATGGGACTTGGTAGTGCTTCGCTCACTGACAAATAAATTGCATTACAAATATGGATTTTCTCACACAACATAATGCATCTATTACTTTAATTTCCAAGTATTTGTCAGTTCTTACGATGCATTTTGGTGGAAAATAAATTCCAGGTTGTCATAATTTGTCACCTTTGGAAAACAATTCATTTCTGTTTAGAATGGATAAAAATAAGATATTGTATTGATATCTAAATGAAATAACTTCAGGGAAATTTTTTTATATTATTTATTGCCATTATCCAGCATCATTTCTCAACTGCATGACAGATGATTAACTGTCTTGCAAATTTCCAAGGTTTCTCGTTCATAACTGTTAATGTACTTTTTCCACAGGGTCATACATCTGGAATCACTATATCTATTCAATCTGAGGAAAGAAAATGTGTAGATTTCTTGAAATGCTTTTGAATATGTCTATATATATATATATTGAATTTTAAAATTGCTGTGAAAAATTTCTGTTAAATATTTTTGAATAAGTACATACAATAAATTAATCAAATGTGGAAAAAAAATTACCTACATGAAAATATGAAAATGATTTATTCATTGCATACACTTATCATGCTTATTCTGCCAAAAAAAAGAACCTTAGGTTATATTCATATAGCCATGTAGCTAACTCTATGGACCTCTCTCTTTTTTTATCAGTTTGTCTTTTTAAAACAACCTTATTAGTCATTGTCCCTATATGTTCTCATCGTGTAATAATCAGAATTTAAATCCCTGTACATGTGTTCAGTGCATAAAAAACATTATACCTACAAGTTGGAAAGACAAAATTCTCAGATTTGAATATCGTTTACAAAATATGCAGCCATAATATCGATACATAACGCTGTATAGACATTTCCACACAAAGACTACAGCAGACAATAAAAAGAGGCTTTCTTTAAGAAGCACTCGACTCAAATAATGCGAATGTAAAGCGAGGTTTGATTCATTAAAATCAATCCCCAACCTTCTTCTTTGGTAGATAAACCCTACATAAAAGTGACAGAAGCCATCTTTGTCTATTTATTAGTCTGTTGTAGTTTTCAACAGTTAATCCCATGGGACGGAAAATCAAATTCGGATTGAGCGGGATTTCGGGATCAATAAATTCCCATTCAGCCTGTTAGTAATGCCTCGTGTTATACTTAGAGTGAACTTCCGACTAATGCCTCTGTTTATATTGCAGTCAACGATTTAAGTGTGTTCCATTACTTCGGAATGAAGAGCAATGCCTTGGACAGCTTGCAGAGCTTTCTTGATTTGACAGCGACACTGAATATCACCATCTTCACTCAAGTCCACAAAGACATTCTCGTTACGCTTTGAAATTAGGACTATGACACGTCCCGCATGTGTATGCATAGCAGAACTTCCATTACACCAATAATATTACACGTATGAATAGATCCTATATGACTTAATCTGTTTATATATGCATAATTTCAGAAAACCTTTTTCATGAATAGTTCTTATAAAAAAATTGTAGTTTTTGATTTTGTAATGTCTATTTTCAAAGGTTTTTGAAGAAGTTAATTGAACAACTTTAAATGAACCAAAAAAATGCTTCAGTTAAAAAAAAAAAAACATCTTTCCCCTTAGCTCTTTTACAAGTCTTTTAGTAAAAACCAAAATTACCCGCATCTTAAAATGTACTAAGTCTGGGTCACACCTTCCTCTTCGCTTCTTTTAATTCTGACACAACAACCCCTCATTGCATTAAGTGCAGCAATTATTAAGTACTCTCAATTCAATTCTTTGGTTAACCTGAGCTTTTCTAAAGCAATTGTGTATTGGCATCCATCATTTTGGCTTAGAAAATTCAGGTTTATAGAAAAAATGCTAAATTTCAGGATACCCACTAATATGCACAGTACAGAAGTGTTTCTTCAAATTGATTCAAATACATCCTTTAGAAAAATATGAGGACAAAAGAGATGAAACATTATGATCCCAGTACACTAATGAAATCAAAACAAATATTTATTAATGTTCCACCAAAACAAAATATTTCTTGAGTAAATCTCAAACAACTCCACGTAATATCCAGAAAGACTTCCCTCACTTCTATTTGTCTGTTGAATAGCTCTTACTAATATGGTTCTATAGAAATTTCTTTGAACAGTTTTTTGACAATAAGAGAAACACTGTATGATGGAAAGGACAATGGAATGATGGAAGGATAATAGACGGGCATGATAAACACTATATGCCCTTGCCATTTTCATGGCAGGGCCTAAAAATACTTTGCATTATATGCCCGCCTTTCCTTGTGATAGCTTACCATATTTAACTTGAGCTATATCTCCCACCACAATTTCTCCGACTGGAATATTTTTGTCCTGTCCCCCTCGGATGACAGAAAATTGATGTTCGTGCTCGATTTTACTCTGAAGTCCGCGGAATTGTTTTTCTTTTTGATAATCGTTAAAAGCTGTCACTAAGACCACCACTACCACTGCTCCTAGAATGGCCACACCCTCGATCCATCCGGCCTCCGATTCCGACGAATCACTACCCTCCCCCTCCGCTAAAAATAGAACACAAAAAAAAATTACACACGAGGAATTGCCACAACCTTGCTCTGCTAAAAATAGAACCCAAAAAATTTATATTCCAGGTTAGCCTCATAATTATATCACCTTACATGTCACTGCATTTTCTTTTGCTTTTGTTAAAAAAAATTGTAAGAATACATATGAAATACATTTTAATTGATAAATAAACATATAAATACTTTCAAAATTTACTTGCAAATAGTAAAAATTAATTTCGAATGCATTGCAGTTTTGTTTTTGTAAACCTATACAATATGCAAGATTCAAGTAGCTTCTGAATTTCTACAGATGATTTGTCTTGAGAATTGTTAAAACTCCATCATATGTTATCTTTCTGGAGATAGCTACATTAACTTGACCTATTGGGTAAAATTCTTAATATGCCACTTTAAAATGATTATGATCTGAGATATTTAATTGTATTCAACTTAGCAGCAATTCACTGAATTTAGAGATATAATAATTAGAGGCAGTAAATATGGAACTGAATAATCACATTTCCAAATAAAGTGGCAAAAACCAACATTTATGACTATATATCACAGTGAAGTGCATCACTGGGGATATATGATATGCCCATCTGGAATAACATGATGCAATTTATATCTCTTTATCAATACTCATAGTCACAAACTGTGATCCTGTGATTTGCAACTATACCATGTAGACTGGAATAAAATTACAGACTAAAAAGGTTAAAGATGAATGGACAGGATTGCTCATATATATGATATATATAGGGGGGGATATGAATTTCATCTCTTTCTCTGTGCATAAAGGATCTTCCATGGATTGTGGATAGATATGAATTCTTATCCAACGAGACAATTTTATTTCTGAGCCTTCACTTGGCAAGGGGATAAAACACACACAAGTTCAATTTTTGGCTTTAAAAAATCAAATCAAATCATAAAACATGGCCAGATTCTTTTAAACTCATTTGAAAAAGCTATTTCATATTTTACGTAATTTCACAATATGTAAATCTACATTTGACTTGATCAAATTCAGGCAAAAAACAATTGTCATCACAACTGTGGATATGAAAACCATATCCTAAAAGCTATATCGACTCTTTGAAGAGTGAACGTGATAAATTCAGATTTATTCTATCAAGAAAATTAACTGGCATATAATCTCCAGTCATATATATATATATATATATATAGGTGGTTGCTAAATACAGAAACATTTCTATAGAAAATCAAGAAGATTGTGTTTCAGATCAGCTATCACGCAAACCTTAATTTGCCTCTATATACCTATTTCTTGAAGGGCAAGTTAATATGAGATTTTAGACTTCCAGCAGCAATATCCTACACGAATATAACAGCAATAAATCAATGTGGGTATAAATCGTAAAGTATAGGAAACTTATTGGACTTTGGGTTCAGTGTTTTCTGTGTTGCGTGTTATTAGAAAAAACACTTCCTCTTTTGCCGACTTATTAAAGTCCTTGTTGCTGTGGCATCCACAGGTTCAGTTCATTTGACGAGATTGTTACGTCGAATCAATAAACAGGAAAAAAAACAAATGCCGTACATCTTTTCCGCCGTAATTCTGTCTGTTTAGGTAAATTAGTTTAGTTATTGACTGCAGCACTCTATATGCTTGTAAACATGGTAAACTTAAGTACAAGACAAGATGCAAGGATTGGACCTAACATGGTATATAACTTTGTTTGTCATACTTCAGTAACTAGCTTAGTGATGGATTTCAGTTTTTGCCACTAGTTTATCATGGGGCTAAAAGTGTCCTTAAAAATTTATGACTGATTACAATACATAATAAATATTTTCTGTCAAAACATGCCTATACACTTTAAAAGTAAGACTATGAACGATACATTGGAAGTATATTGGGGAAAAATAACCAAAAAACTTCCTTCTGGTGTTTTGTTGGTGCCGCTATCTATCATAAATTTTTCTAGTTCATTTATAATAGCCTATGATAAACAAAATTGAAAAAGGGTAATCATTTTCAAGGCCCATTGAAGGTCACAGATTTCCTTGTAACTAGTTTTACGGTCTATCATAACTTGTTCTATTGGACTAGAACCATCAGATATATGTGACAGGCAAGAAGAAAATTCAAGGCTAGACAAGGAATCAAACCCAGGACCCCTTCTATCACTAGTCAGGTGTCCTAACGACTAACCTACCCTGGCCAATATCCAGGATCAAATCCCAAACAATAATGAACAAAATTCGCTTCTTGCAGACCAAACCTTTCAATTTTTTGGTATCAACTTTGATCTATAGCTGAAATGCCACTGCCAATCAATCAATCAATTGATCAGAGGATTCATTATGCACTCACATCTGGGGTAAAATGATAATCCTAATGAGATAAGAGCAGCTACAATAAGAACAATAAGGGTGACGTCCTGGATGGCCTCCCACACCAGTTGGAGGAAGGTTTTGGGGGGTTTGGGAGGAATCACATTGGACCCAAATGTTTTCCGCCGGTCCTCAAGGTCTACTGGGGATCCAGAAATACCTACAAGCAAAAAGTTAACAGATATTATTCATATTCAAAGTTTCACAAATGGTTTGCAATGAAACACACAGTAATTTAAACATGCAAATAATGAATTGATGATAGCAGTGAAGTGACTTTCATTCTATTTGGCTTAATATATTTATATTGTGAATGAAATATCTGTATCAAAATTTATAGATTCAAATGTTTCATCCTTTACTTCTCAAGGACATTGTCTTTAAAACACACACTGATGTTCTATATCAAGAAATGTGATACTCATAAGAATTTTACCAGTTCTGCTTCTCAAAGACCTTGTCTCAACCAAATAAATGCCGTTCTATATCAAACAATCTCTGATACTCATTAGAATTTTACCAGTCTCTTCTCTACTTAGGCTACAACAAGTTCTCTGGTTGTGACCAGCATACTGATTCTCAGTGGTTAGAGCTCTAATTATAGGCTTGATGGATTGACAGATTCTTTCACATACAGAAGACGCAATCAAATTTAAAAGCACTGGACTTCTGTAAACCCTTGCCTGGCTGTCTGAATTAGGGAAGTAAATGAGCAGACATTTCTTTTCAACCTGTGCCAATCTCCTACTAGCTCCTTATATTAATCATCGTTCTATATAGTCTTTTCTGCATCTCACCTTCCAATAAACCAGATTGAGGTGTTTATTAAAAGTATATTAAGTAATGACGAAAAAAAGAACGCCATTGATCCAGACCCAAAAAAATTTTCATTAAAAATAATCAATGCGTGTTTGGCTGGTAGGGAAGTTTCATTAATGCAGCGACTGTGACAAGCTTTGGTAGGAACAATTGGGTTTGCAAGAAGAGTCGATGGCTAATAACGAACCTTGAACAATCATTAGGACACTAGCCCCCCAAACACTTCCTGACCAGAGCACCTCTCTCTATCCCCCAGAAAAACTCCTCAACTCACTTATACATCACAAGCCAGCAGGGATTTATTATTCCGATGGAGAGCGTTCCTTTTTTCTCTCCAATCGGTGTGAACATCAAATCATTAGAGTGACAAATTGATAGTTAGGGTTTTTTGCCTGGTTGCATCATTTTAATAGCTAGATTCTTTATGACTAAACTCCCATAAAACGACATTAGATAATGAAAAGAATATCAATATTTTATACTGGAAGACACTTCTTCATATATCAAATATCTAATTTAAATGCAATGTTTAAAACTTGTACATCATCTTTTTGTTTTTGTAATTAATAGAAAGGAACAAAATTTTGACTGCATCAAATTGAAAGCCAAATTCTGATATTAAATGCAATAACCATTTTAATTGATTTTTACCAGTAAACTTGAACGTTTTACACAAACAGTAAAGATCACTAACAAATCAATTGAAATATAAGACTGCTAAACTCAATTGAGCCTTAATTGTATAAAACATTTACTAGGATAAAATATTTTGTTCAACTGATTTACTAAATCTGTGACCATGAGATTATAAAGGGTGTCATTTTTTTTTTCTTCTGATTTTCCAGTTTTCTTTTTCTCTGCAGGTTTTCTGGGTTCATAATCAAAACTTATGAATTCCCACATGGGAAATAAATCATATAGCATGAATAGACTATGGCCAAAGAAAACTCCTTTGGATCCCAGGAAGTGAACTAGTTTGTATCACTACCTTGACTTGGAAGAAAAAATAGAGGCTGACAATATATCAGTCATATTACATGTATGGTTATAATGGGGAATTCAGAAAAATTACGTACATTAACTTGGAAGGCAATGCATGAGAAACTTCCTGCATCTTGGAATTCCAGTCCATCACATTTCTGACAGGGGGGTTATCATCTCAATAGGTACCTAAACAATTTGGTTTTACTAGATGTTTGATGAGAAAATATTCCTACATTATTTTATTTCTACATCCTTGATACACTAAACCCATCAGAGCCCTGCCAGAAAGTGTCTAGTTTTTTCAACACATTTTGCCGTTGAGGAGTTTTGCTGTACAACCAACATGCCATATGTCTATACACAAAGTGGAGGTCAATCAATATATCAAAGCATGGAAAAGAAGGCAGGGATCCAATGCATTCAACCAACACTATAATTATAATTTTTTATGTATTGTTTTCAAAAATTTTTGCTACTAAGGCTAGCTTCCAAACACACTGAGAAAATTTTGGTTTTGAGTTATTGTTTTGTACTTTGTACTACAGGCTTCAAAATCACTAACACACAAGAGAAAATTCCTTATACCAGCAGAAAAACCTCCAGAGAACTTGCTTGGCCATCCTGGTTTGTAAATTAATATCCAATGTATACATAATGTACTCCTTGATCATTTCTACCACTAGGTTGTGCTATGTCTATGACAAACAGCAAGATGATGTGAGCATGTGAGCATGACCTTATAATCGACGAGAACAATGTTTACACCAACTAATTTACCAAATTTCAAATTATGGAAAGATTTTTCAAAGGTTTAGGTTATTTCCATATCGAAACACTGACTTTGGGGGAATTACGATATGCTCAGCATTTCACCTCTTGATATGAGACTGGCAATATTGTATAAACGGTTATTTTCACCTTGCGTTATTTTAGTCCTTTCGCACTTGCAAACAATTTTTGCCCCCTTAAATTTGCCCAGTCATAGCTCTGTTTGAAAAATTATGATGTCTTTTTTGAATTTACCCTGTTTTAAATTTATCAATCATGAAGAGGGCAAAAGGACCAGAAACAAAACGAGAGCAAAAATTTCCCTGTATACAGTAACTGCATAATGACAGACACATTTTGATCCTTTTACCTTCGTTAGGTGAGGTGTATAGTTGTTTACATAGCTCCAACACTCCGCCGTACTTCTCCTGTATGTACTCGTAGCCTTCATGTTTGTGGTGCTCCATGATTTTACGGAGATCCATCACGTCCAGCCCATAGTTGGCGTCCCTGGGCCGGGACATGCCCAATCCGTCCACCTGGTCCTCCGACATGATTGTCAATTATCCCACTGTGCCCACGTCCTAAAAAACACAAGGATGCATTGTTAAATCTATTGGTTTCTCTCAGATATTTGGGCTTCTTCTGCGACAATATATACTCAATCAATGCACTTGTTACATCATAAAACCGAATATTTTTCATCCATAATTAATTACCTTAAAGTAATAATGCATTGTAAAAAATATCACTCGCATTAGAGAAAGCAATTATCAATCTACCGTAGTTGTCATTTATTGGACTAAATGAAACATGAACGTGAGGGACAAATTGTAAGACTAAGCATTACAGTACACTGTGTTATTTTTAAATCTCCAAGTTTCTGAGTAATGAATAGATAGAAACACAATTCCCACAAATTTCCATTTATTTGAAGATGCAGAGATTCAATCTTGGATGAAGTGATCAACTGGTGGAACTTAACAAATATAGATCAAAAAGTTTTAAAAGTCAAAACTTCAAAATACTGTCTCCTACACCATTCATCAATACAGAAGTCAAGTTCATCAATTGATTTCTCCCCATAGATAGATCATAAACAACTTTGTGACGCCAGTCTAACTAATGCACTGTAAGCACTAATATTAAACTTGGTGACATTAAACACTTTTCCAATGTTACATCTCGCTCTGATGCATTCATCAGTGTACAGTTATAGATCATTCTATGAGGAGCAAGTATAAACATGTCACAATCTTTTGAGAATTGATGAACTTACAATAACTTATATATCTATTTCACCTGACTAACGACACATGAACTGACAAGAGTTCCGTCATCAGCTTCATGAGTGCACCCTTTCAAGTAAGCTAGCTCCTCAAAATTTTTGCATTACAGTGGTGGATTTAAGCTAATCACCATCCCCACCCCACTTAAATTTCAAAATTCAGTATCAATCATTCTTGGAAAATTTTCAGACCCCCTCCATCTTCCCTTACTAGATGTTCGATCCTTTCCTACACTGGGTCCTTGGAGTCTGACCATGCAGACATGCAGTACACTACATCTGCATCGGAGGAAGGGAATGTGGAAAGGGGCTATCTGATACAGAATTCCATGACATGGAACCTCTTTACTATATAATCATTACTGTTAAAGCTGAAATGGACCAAACCTATAGGAACTCTCTCCTGTTACCTCAGAAACCACAGGAATCCATACAAACACAAATACTTCAAGATAATAAGGAAGAGTGAAGATGTAACCCAAAACACAGAATTCTCTCAGTACAATAAAGTTAACACTAGGTCAACAGCCTCTCAAGTAGAAACATATAATACAGAAAGTCCCCACCTTACAGGAATATCTAACGTTTTATGTCTGTGTAAGTGTTTGTTGTCCAACATACAGTTTATATTACAATACCTTTTGTCACAAAGTGGAAAGGAATGCTAATACACAACAAGACTCAGAACCCGACACTGTACAAACATATGCTTCTTATTCTAGCTACCAAATAACTCATATGTTACTCAGTGTGCATCAGTCCCTGTTAAAAAACTCTTTTCAGTTTCTGGCTCCCATACAAATGTACAGTACGATTTTACAATATTTTTTTACACTTGATTTGATTCATTTTGCTTGTTTGATAGGTTCAACGAATCAACATCTTAACTTGTAAATATTAATGCAAGTTTCCTGATCTCCATTACAAATTATGCACAACTGCTGTAGACAAAATAGCAAATTCAACCACACACTAATTTAAAAACTAATGTGTATCTACTAATTGCAGCAATTAATCAGGGTCCATCATCCAGATGAGAATACATGTACATGTTCCGATAAGAAACATTTTAATTGTACCAGCTCAAAATGAACATTAGATATACATCTTTTTCACAGTGCATGCACTTTTTTTTTTTTGCCTTGCCAATTTTACGTCACTGTAAATGGAAGATAGGGCGGAAAAAGTAAAACAATATTACATCACACGTCATAATGGGGAGGGGAAAAAAATTAATGTAAGTATATTTACAGTAAATGTTTCCGAGAATAAATTTAACACAAAAGTACACAGATGCATTTTAAATCATGAACTGGCATTAAAAAAACTGAAATTCACCTGACGTCAACAAACCATTTCCAAATTTTTCCACCTAACCTGCAAAGGATTTTTCTCTTTGTCTTTTAATATTCTAAAGCCATTGATCTTCAAAAATAATTTGTGAAAAATTACTGTTTAGCCCCACAGACAGTCATGATTTTCTTGAAAAATGTCAAAAAATATAACTTTATTTACATAAATCTTTGTTTAATCTGTTCAACTGGTGTAAAATTCCTCAACAGGTGCCTGTATACAATTAACCACTGCCCTGTAAAACAGACCTACAGCTAACATACATCCCTACATATCAGCCAGCAAAACCTCTCCCTATACTCAGGAAATGTAAAGATTTCTGTGTAGGAAATCACTACACGTGTATATGAACTTTTTAAATACCTATATTTAAACATAATGTAATACATGGACTCTGAGATAAAAACAGTATTCACACAAGCTCAAAAGTCAATTAAACACAACAAGTCAGGAGTCCAGCAAACACAGATCTCTAAAACATTACATAGGGGATTAGGTGCCATGGAGGACTGAGCATCCCCTGTCAACCAGTCATAACCCGTGTGTAACAATATGGCCTAATAATAAGTATGAAAAAATGTCAGTAAGCATTTGACTTAATCATCAATTATACTATATATAACATTTATAAAATATTTTATTTTACATGTATTTACTATTTTCATTTTATAGTTGGTCATTTGTGTACCATAATTTTTAAGTCCTACAATAAGTGGAGCAAAAATATTACTGAAAATATGTAAATTATGTATCTTAAAAAATGTATGTATTGTATAATTATACTGTATATAATTTTCTCTCCCTTTCTTTCTGCATAACAATAAGCTTGTATTGCTTAACAAGCGAGTTTGACGCCTTAGTGTGGAAAAAACAGCATAATGTAAATCAATGAAAGGTGTCTCAAGCCCTCAATCCATGGCAAGTTTTTTAAAAAGAAACAAGTCATAGAGTTTTTAAGAAATGCTAATTAATGTTATTAAGACACGACTACATTATCTAGAATTTTTACCACAACCTTGTGAAAAATAACTTACAATCTGTCATCACAAATGAGTTAATTAATCCATCACTATATACATTCCCTAGTGAAATCACTAATACATGACCATGTAAGACACCTACCATACATACACATTACATGTATGTATCCCATTGATCTTAGGGACCCTATATATTACATACCTCTCTCTCTCTATTATGATGAATCTATGTATACACACAGATATGACCCTTGAGAAGAATGACAATTGAAAGATAGCCGTTTTATCGTCTTGAATCCTAGTCAACAATCACCAGGCAATAAAAAAAGCACAAATATCAATACACAATCCTATTTATGTCTCCGATGAAACCACATAAATGATGAAAATACATATCATCTAACACTCCAGCCTGCCTGTTACATGCAGACATAAAATCAACCATCTTATTATAATGTGACAGAGGTCATTCAATCACGGTAATTCAGTGTCCAAACAAGTTCAAAACCCTTGTAGCAAAATATAGATCTTGATGCATTAATAATACATACATCTACTGACCAAACATACCCTAGCTGTTTCTTCATGTTTGTTTTGATTTGTAAGCCTTCTATAATTTCAAGTTTGGATTTTGACAGCTATAATTTTGGTCTGAAATCATAAACTCAGCTACATTTAAAACTTCTATGATTTTAGATAATTGCATCTTATAACACTGTGAAGAAAACGCTGAAAAATAATTACCTATCATTTGAATGTGTATACCCTAAAATCATCCTTATTTTTGAAGTACACGAAGAAGCATGATAACAACATTTATTTACCAGTTCATGATGTAAATATATGTCAATTGTTACCTGCATATTATCCCGCCGAATTCTTCTCTACTTATCTATATGCCCCCACACTACTGCCCTTCCTATAAGTTCAAAAATTTCTGGGGGGGTTTTGTCTATCCATCTTTTACTGTAATGCATGTTATGGATACATTTCCATGAGAAATATGATTGCTTAAGTGAACAAATCAATATGAGAAAAAAGGCCCAGCAAATGAAGCCTCCGAGTCCAGAATCCAAATATAGAAGGGTTATTAATGCCAGAAAAATGCTCTAACGACCAAATACTAAGTAAATGTCAAAAAAGTTTTTCTTTACGTAATAAAACATCACTTGAAAATCAATGCCCCAAGTTATTCTGGGAAAAATATATTGGATTGGCACTGCGATGTCCCCCTTAGAGCTCTAAATACCGTTATATAAGGCATTTGAGCTAGCTTGACCTCCCTGTACTAGAAAGAGACAGACAAGTAGAATCTTCCATCAGAACACTGTTACAATAGGGATAAAAAAATCTAATTATATACAAATTCTTGCACAATATCAATTCTCTCTTTCAACAAGAACCCTAAATTAACTGCTAGATAACAAAAGCTCCCTCCCTTTGATCATATTGGATCAGTAGATGTTGGTCCTGATTATGCACACAAGCAACAGGTAAACATTTCTCCTTCACCAATCTTTCCTGCTTTATAATCAGAACTTCATCAAGGAGTTAACATTAGTCACAGCAGCTTCAGCAATCCTGTGTCAGATCACCAGCCCTCCTACACAAAAATTTCACTGAAACAATAAGCAGATCTCAATCTGTTTTCAATGTGTTCCCCTCCCCTTCATGTACTTTTAACACTGATTCTTATCATCCATTAAATTCCATTTATAAGTTGACGCAAACTATAAAAAACTCCCAAAAACCAAGTTAGACATGAAGGTCTTAGTAATAAACTTAGTTCATTTCCCTATACCACATGTACAGAGGGTACATAAAAATTTTACACCTTGAACTTGCAATTCTAACATGTGTCTCACCAAAGTAATGTGTAATCAAAAAACATCTTGATCTATAGCCAAGCTTATTAAATAATGTCATGTACAATGAACTCAAATTTACTTCCTCTCCATAAAATACAATCCACTTGATCTCAGCAATGTGTATTAAAGTGAAAAAAAAGCCTTGAGAATCCAAAATGTCCTTGAATGCTTGATCATCCTTTTTCCATGGCCGGTAAACAGACCCGGCCAAAACAAGCCAGGAAAACCCCCTGTCAAGACCTTTTTTCAAACACCTAAACATGTCGGTGTCTCTGTTTTTTAGTGTATACCCTAAAAATGTAACATTATTATGCAAACTTTTTGCAGAGCAATTGCAGAGAGGTTGACAAACAACATACAACTCTTAACCAAGTTTACAATCTCTTCAAGCAGAATCTGTGACCTTGACACTTCCCTCCATGGAAAAAATAAAAAAAAACAAAAACATTTCTCTCTATTGAACATGGGTTTAAATTACAAGATTATTGTTGTCAAAAGAAAAAGCCATAAGTCTGGCATTATCTGAAGTAGCTGCCAGCGTGCATAAATCAGAGAATTCCTCATTTTTTCCCTCTCCATGCTACACGGTTGCATGCAAGTGCAAAGATCTGCTTAATGCATTTCCCAATATGAATTTGTTTGGAGTTTTCTGAGTTATCATATGTCACGTAATGTACAAATTACAAACATGTGAAAATAAAAGTTTTTGTTAGAATTAACCAACCATTTGAATGTTCTGTTGTGATGTTGTATGCAACTGTAAGTCTATGACATTAGTGCAATATTCTATTGTATTGTCCATACGGTACTTGAATTTCTTTGCACTTTCATGGACAGCAGCAATTTTCTTCTTCACATCAGCACCTTTTCAAATTTATTTCTTACAAAGCAATACCAACATTTAATATTTTAGTCAGAAGAAAACCAAGGAAGGAGCACAGATCACACCCAGACTCTCAGACAATGGACACTCCAACCAATGCAGATAAAGTTAAGATTTATAGCAAAGTCATTCTCTCTTTTTCCCCCCATAAATTAGATTTCTTATATAAATGAGTAATCATTTTTCCTTCGATAAATTTTGTAAGTTGCTGATGGTGGCAATAGTTTTAAAGAGCATGAAAACATCAATAAGAGTTCTTGGCATTCCTGAACAAAAGATAGCCTACCTGTGCTCTATCCATCAATTACCTGTAAAAGAAGAAAAAGAGAAACACATTAATACTTCACAACAATTTGTTTCTAATCAAATATTCTTCCAGAGATCAAAGAACATTCATTAAGTCTTATCTAGAATAATTTTTTACATGTTGCTGAACTCAACGGCCTCAGGCTTAAGATTCCCTGCAGAACTACACCACTGTAGCATCCATAAACAAGTGTTTCATATTTCCCAGCTTTTTTGTTAATTAGTCACACCAATTTATCATGGACGGTGTGTGAGATCCATTTTTTTTTCCAGCCACATAGCTTATGAACAAGTGTTAATGCCTAAAAGCTTCTCAGCTAAACTTAATTTTTGACAGTTTCTGGCAATTAAATTTTGTTGGCAAATAATAACATAAGCGAGAAAATTGTCTGCAACTTGAAATTTTTCATAGTTTAATATCACACTTGTTTTAGCATAAGAACTTTCAGCAAAACTTAGTTGTATGAAATTTTGTTTTAGGAATTTTTATTAATGAGAATTTCTTTTTAAGAATCCAGTTTCTTTTACTGATTAAAAATCTCTGGTTGGGGGGGGTGGGGTTCAAGGTCTCTGACAGTGTCTTCCTAATAAGTTAGTTTTAATGTGTATTTATTGGTTCTGAATCTTCATGCTCTGTGCAGATCATAATTCAAAAGCAATTTCAAGGTTCGTGGTCCCTCTGTCACTCGAAAAAAAAAATTTGCTCTAAGGCTTGCTGATGATTTTTCAAATCTACATTAAATCAAAATACAAACAATTTTAGCTAACCTTGAAGGAAAAATCTGATACAGAAAGTCTTTAACTTGACAAATTTAGTCATTTATCATTGTTAGAGTTATCTCTCTTAACAGGGGGGCCGTTGAACCTTAAAACAATGAGTCTCTGTCCTACTGTACCATTTACAATGATTTTATTTCAAACACATACACCATGATGCATATTTTATGAAAAAGAATGAATATCATCAAAGTCAGACAACAACAATAATATAAAATCAATTTAATGTTAGCAAGTTCAAAATACTAAGGGGCAATAACTACATATACCAATCTCTTGAGCAAAACTATTCTCTCTCCCCATAAATTTGTGTCCAATGTCTAATGATTTGATCTAACATTTTTTTTTTTATCCCAATTCAATAACAAATGCAATCAACTGCTGATTTTCAATGTCTGATTATCAAGCCTTCATGACTATATCAAACTTTCAATGCAACACTTTTAGAAGGTCCATGGGGAATTGATTAAAGTCTAATTTTGAACATGTTGAAAGCTAGAAAAATACTACAAGATTAAACAGTAATACTCCTTACTTTCCCATCCCACAACCAATGAACAAAAAATTGAGCAATAACTTTGCCTCACACACATTTACTATATTGTGACACTGCATAAGCCATTACAATGTCTTCAGCAGCAAAATTTTTTATCCAACCTGACAAGGTAACTCTTTTCTAGGCCTTTTTTGTATTACTTCACAAGTGAATCCCTCTGTCATGGTTCAAACCCTTCCTCTGCCAAATCTTCCTAGTGTGAGGCAAAAAGAAAGAAGTATCACAAACAAAAAGTGAATTTGACTGTCATGGTTCTGATCTGTCCTTTGCCAAATCTTCCTTTAGAAGTCAGTGTATTAGCTTCTTAGTGAGGCAAAAAAAATAGGGAAAGAATGACTTAATGATAGCAGATGAGAGCCCCCAGTTCACTCAAGCATCCTAAACACTTGGCAGAGGACAGCAGATACAACAAGTACATTACATACTGATGGCTTCTGCTCGCTGGAGGAATTCACAGAGGCAACACAACACTGCTCAAACCTTGTCTTAGTTCATTAACAATACCAGATTTACTGTGGCAAGAATATTCTAGAATGTCAAGAACATAATCATCATATCTTGCATTTAATTCCTGATTTTTTTTATTTGCAGTTATTTGCACACCTTGACATTTTGTTAGCTGCATGCAGCCCAGCAGTAATAAGATTGCGCAATCAGATTTAATGGCTTGCAAGGTGCATCTTGAAAATTATATATTTCTTTGGCCTTTCCCGACTAATAAAACAGCCTACATGGGGTCTCATTTCAAATGAGGACCCAATTTAAAGCCAAGGGTTTGTCATTTACACAAGTCCCTGATTCTGCATCTCAATCGACTTCTGACATCTTCAATATTGACCTCTCTGATGACTCACTGTCTCCACACTACAATTTTGAAATTGATACTTATAATGGATAAACATTCACCTGTCCTCTTAAAAATTTCCATACATAACCAAAACACTTCATTTCTCTGATGGACTTATACAACCTTTGCCAAAATCTTCATGTCAGCTAAAAAATTTCAACCATGCTTGACATACTTTTTTCAACTTTTTTTGGGCCTCATTTATTGCTTTTCTGCATTTCCTTCTCAACCCGCCCCCCCCCCCCCAACACTCCCATATCTGCCGAGTACATTGCATTCCTTCGCACAATGTCCTCAATGACTAGGGTTAACCAGCATTGTGTGCTATCTTTCAGTATTAGTTGTAGTTCTGGTTGGCAATGAGGTCAATTCCACTGGTGCAGCAGTGCAAGTTAATAGTAGATTTGGCATCGGGCCCACTCAGAATCCCCATTAGCTTTGACAGAAGCCTATCTACTGTTCTATGTAGAGCTACTGGATTCCCTTCAGTTCCATCAGCACAATGCTATAGTAAGCACATCAAGTTCTTCTTTGCCCATAACTATTGGTGTTTGTAACATCTAGCTTGTAAGTTGTTTTAGGACTACAATATGCTAGTATGGCCTCTCAAAGCTTTAAGAAACCATTTTGGGGATTTCATTATACATATACATGTTATAAGCTTTTAATTGTGAGGTGAGGGTCCTATATACACACAGCTTTAACTTTCCCTCCCTAGCTCTTATTTAATTTTTAGGAGATCATATTAGAAGACAGGACACAATCATACTTCTCAAAGTAAATTATTGGAGACAAAAGGATATTCTTTCCCTCAAGCACACAAAAGTTTTAGTGTATACAAAAATATGACCAAACAATAAATGAACATTTCTTCAGCTTGGCTGACAGACTTATTCAGCAAATTTGCAATTAGGGCAAGCAACTTTTTTTCAGATTTGAAAACTGGTATTTCAACCCAATAAAATAAAATTTATGACCAGATGATTCATGGTGAAATATCTGCGGGGGAGACAGGGTCAAAGGAATTTTTATTCACCTCATTAAAACAAAATATATAACCATTGTTATCTTAAACAACATAAATAATTTGTTATTCACAATACCTGACTTTAATTACCCATTGTTAATTCGATGTTTAAACGCATCAGTCCACAATTGATTACCAATACAGGTGGAATATAAATCACCCTAATTGTCAAGATTGTACTTATGTGACTCATATATATTCCTCAAATGTTGATATCTTTGTCTATGGCAAAGGTACACATTTTCAAATAAATTAGATTTTGATAATAAATTAACATTAAAAACAAATTCCATGTTGAATTTTCTCAGTAGCAGGCACTTAAAATGCAAAAATTGTGTGCGTATGTGTTTGAAGGGGGGAGGGTCTTACTGATCTACCACCGACCTTTCATGGAGGTCAATTGCCAGACTTCAGTTTCACATTATATTCACCGATAATTTAACAAATTTACATTTTGGCACCTAACACTTGGTCAATGTTAAAATCAAATTGAAGAGGAAGCTTAACTTAACCTTTTCAGATTCAAATGATAACAGGGGTAGGCAACTGCTTCTTGGGTCATCAGCACTTAACAGGGCAAATAGACCCACATACATGTGTGTTTATTAGGTGTTTATCATCCAATTGAGCACAATTCCTATCTCACATTAGATTCTAACAGGTGTAAAGAAATCCCCGCTTCTTCCTGCCTCCATGTTTTCATGTTCTTAGGAAATCTTGAACTCTAAGAGCTTTTTAATACTGGAATGTTTAGAAAAGGGCCTTGTTTATTTAGTTTCCCCCTAGGTGTACAAGATTTCCGGGGTGCCATGCTTACTTCAGTGTTCTTGTCAAAACCAATTTCCAGCCCGAGATGAGAATTTTTAGTGGGAATAAACATTACACAACAAATTTCTAACAGGGGCCCTCTGGTTCCTCTCAGGCTTTCTGCATCTAAAGAGGTAGTTTGGAGTCTTATAGTGGAATAAGCCATGTTTAATGTTGCTGCTAGTTGTCAGCTTTATTGGGGAAACACAAGACATTGATGGGCAGAAAACTGTGCTCTGTTACACAAGTCCTTTACAAAATACCAGCACAAATTGAGATTTATTGAAATCAATAAATTGCCATACTCCTTGCAGCTAAACTATCCAATTTTATCCAATATGCTGATGAAAACATAAATAACCCGAAGTTTTGTCAAATCAATTTCCCAACTCCCAACTGTTTTCCAATATGTGAACTGAATTAATGTGTCCTCAGACTAAATTTCAATTAGATATGGAAAATATTTACCAAACAGTAATGATGACTATTGACTTTATCACAATAATAAACTTTGACTCCAGGGGAAAAAGAATATAAACACAGGAACTGCGCTTAAAAAAAATAATCTGTTTTACTTGGTGCAAGCGAAATTTTTTAAGGATGTCAGGTAAATGCATACATATACTACATAGGAGATTATCATTAATTAAACATTCGGATTAACTGAACGGGCTATCAACTGGCACTAACCTTAAATAACCTATATATACTAGCCTGTAAGTCAATTCTCTTATCAGTTGTATTTTTTCAGATTCTTTTGGAGAATGGTGCCATTTTCCACTTATAAAATGGGTGTTTTTTCCAAAAATCTTTGATCTTTAATTAACAATTGAAAAATACACATTTATTATCTCAGTCTGTAAGCACATGTGGTAGGTAGCTTTAGGTCTTTATTTCCTGCATTTCAATTAAGTTTAAAAATGTTTATCATTATCATCAATGTTATTACAAAATTACTATTGTCTCTTTCAGAAACAAACACACAATACGCTGGACAAAGAGTTTTGGATCAAAATTTAATTAACTCCCAAAAATCTGACTTATAGGCAAGTATATATTTATATATACACAGTTCCTTCAAAACCTGTGGGCTCTGCTCAAAACATTTGTTTTGCAACACTGCATATAAGCTAAGTCCATAGCAGAATCCCCTCACTACTGAACAATATATAATTACAATCCTGCTCTCCAACAGAAAACAGGGGAGTTTTTATCAAACAATCTGACATTTTCAGCATCCAACCTCATCAAAGGAACCCCCTACCAGTGCCTGAAATAACATTATAAAGCCCCTGTTTCACACAAGGCTACCGTTTCCTGGCCAAGTAAATTCTTTTTTAAAATATATCGGAGGAAAACTGATTCACCATGGGGATGTTAAATACATCAACCCCGAAATATCAATGGGGATAAAAAATAAAAGCAACTCACCTAAATAAATAAATCTGTTGTGATTTTCTCTATCGCTCAGCATCCACTATCCATCACATGGGGCCACCATTATCTATAAATAGAAGCACAGATTGGTCACGGAGAAATGCCTGCACACATTGTAACCTTGAAGCAGTGTCCTTCTCTCTCCTCCCTCCCCTCTCAATCAATACACACACTTTAGCTTTTGCCACTGAGGCCCACTGTACATTTTCTCTCCCTTTCTTTTCTCTCTCCGTTAGCGTAAAACTGTGTATTCCACAGTAATATGGTGGCCTGATCAATAAACTAGTGTCAATTTTAATCAATCTGTAACCGATGTATTGGCGGTCGTTTGACTTGCCCAGCAGATGCACAAGACTGCCACTGATCTTTTTTTTGGTTTTGGCAATGTATCCAGGTCCCGACACACAAATTCCAAACTATAACCAGACACGTGTCAGAAATTCTCCCACATCAAAGAATAATCACCATATCATTAAAACGTAATCACCAGACACAAAGTCGATCTGTACAAAATCACACACACACTCTCCTCTATACCGCCTCTATATATAACATCCCCGTGATCAGTCAATACAATTCTATCAACCGTGAAGCAGTCCCAATGATGAACGCTGATGGATGCAAAAAAACAAGTCTTTTTGGTGAATCTCTTACAAAGGACTTGACACAGACAATCAGGTATTCCATGAGGTGTGGGATTTTTACCTAAGTTAATCCAAACAGAGGCTCCGGGGACCCGCCAGGAATAAGCATCAATTATGCAACATAATCAATGAAGGAACTCTCTTATTACCACATTCTACATCCTCTATACCATTACACTCTGTAGTCTGCATCTCAGTTTAACTTTGGACAAGTAAGCAAAGAGGTAGGGGTGGATCCAAAGGACAGAGGAGGAGTGGATATTGAAAGAAAACTTAGGAGTGGACATTGAAAGAAAACTTAGGTGTGGACATTTGAAAGAAAACTTCACATAGCAGGCTCAATATCCATCAGTGAAATTAACTTTTTGTCAATATACTTTTGCTACAAAATGTGTACATTTACTAGTAACTTGAGTTTAAAATTGATACAAAGGTAAACTTTAAATTACTATACAATCATAGGACAGGAGATTGAGTATTCACACAACCTGTTGGATTCATCTGAAATTGATGTACAGTATATCATTTACTACAAGCAGTTTCAAATTTGAAAATCATGCATTTCTCCATCATGCAAGTAGACAAGAATACATCTGATTCAATATGTGATTTCACTATTTTTTTAAAGATTGAAAATGGACCATTATATATGAATGGGATGGTAATCATTTGAAATTGGGGATGAGGAGTAGGGGTAATATAGTACACATTTCTAATAATAATTTAACACTACTTAAAATAATCATACTACATAAATTATTATGCTTCCTTCTGTCAGTAGGCGTATAAAACTTCAATGGCTAATTTAAGACACTGTTTCCCTTACCTTTAATAATCTATCATTTAATAATCCATTTTCACTTCCTCATAAGACAGAAATCCTATGCAGCTTTAAATTCCGTGTGGGAATAAAAGAAAAAAACATCCCTGTGCCTGCTGAACAAGCATGAAAATAAAAAGAAAAGAAAACCTCCTAAATGATGGCATATATGTACACATGAGAATCCTTGGCACTACAAAAGAAATGTGTATGTGTGTGTGTGTGTAACATGTGTAATGAGACTTCCAGAACAAGCACACATGCTAATTCCTACGTGAATCTGGCAGCCAACCCCCATTTTATATAAATAAACCAACAGAATCGCTCATTAATATCATAATGGTGAAAAGGTACGAAACTTATCCTCCATCACCATGACAACACAATATGCTTTTTTCATGTCTGTTACCGTTGGTTATTTTTTCTCTCTTTTTGTTAGATCTTGTATTTTTTGTTCATTTATCATCTGTATGTATATTAACTGTCCACACAGCTGTGGGAAAAAAAAGAATTCATATCTGATATAGTGAAATAAGCCTGAATATTGACATTATCGCTGGTGTATATATTATATTGGAATATTTAGAAATCTAGGCTTTATTTTTTACATCATAAAGCTAATGCTACAATGCAAGACTGTAAGAACAGGTGATAGCTATATAGCTATAAACTTTACATACCTGTATTACTTAGCAATAAGATGGATTGTACTCAGACTCTGGGCTCTCACACTTTAAATTCTGGGACCTGGACCAGGAGGGTCCTAACGAATTAAGCTATAAATTGAGTTTCAATGTTTTTCATACATGTGTGTTTTATGGTCCAATTTAGCATTCTTCATTGAATGTAATACTGAGTACTTACTTAGTAATTATGTTACATCTCAACTATATATACAAACTATAAAGATCATAGAATTATCTCAGAATCCAGGTTTCATTTAAATATATATGGACCATTTTTCTCCCAATTTCTTTCATCTAGCTACTTTAAAGATGGTGTCAAAACTCACAAGATTTTAAAAGTCAATAGAAATTAATGTGTTTAATCCCGTGGTTCTGACTAAAAGCAATTCAATCATAAAAACTCAAGAGAGACTATACATAAATGAAGAAAAATCTGACAGTATTTAAAATGTTTTTACGTCACAGCAAATCAAATAGTGACTCACTAAAGCAAGCCCTCTATCAATTTTTTTTCTTCTGTGTAAAATGTCTCAATCAAACATGACTAATTTGTAACTATACTGCCTCCTCTCTCCTTTACATTGATTTCTCGACTCGGAATTGATACAAATAATGGCTCCATTGGAAGGCGGAATGAAAATAACCCTCAGCCAAATAATCAATGCTTTTAATAGATCTCCCAAGCAATTGGCCAGATAAACTTCACTTTATGTATAAACAATATATCTCTCAATAATTTTCATGTGCTATCAGAGTTGAGATTATGAGTATTGCTTTGTGCAAAGAGGAGTAAGAAAACAATTTTCTTATGTGCAAGGAGAAATGACATTAAAACCAATTTTATATGAGCAAGGAATATGACAAGTAAACCTATTTCACTCAAATGACATGCCAAAATAATCATGATAATGCTTGTACAATAAAATGAAAGTATACATAAATATAATTTATGGTCATTTTTTCAAGATGATTTATTTACGTTTCACAGAAACTTTCCCCATTAATAACAGGATAAAGACTTTTCTCTCATTATAAATCTCGTTTTCTCTGGTTTTAACTGGTATTGCACAAATGCTGCTTAATGTCAGGTATAGATTTTTAATTAACTTATCAGGAAGAAAGGTATTCCGATTTATCCTTGAAAAACATAATTTTTATTATCAAGCATTTTTGGGGGTTGGATGGAGGGGTAGGGGGATGGAAGCTAGGGCACTGTTTATCGTGTACAAGGCTTTCATATATCTTAATACTGTATACAGGGAAATTTTCACCCCCGTTTTATTTTCGCCCCTTTCGCCCTAGCCTCAATTGGGCGAATTTAAAAAGGGGCGAATTCAAAGTATACAGTATAATTTCTTAAACAAAACTGTGAATGGGCGAATTTAAAACGGGGCAAAATTGTTTGCAAATGTGAAAGGGCGAAAACAAAGCGGGGCGAAAATAACCCTGTATACAGTATGATCTTATCCGATTCACAGTGCCGTGAAAAATCATATGCAAAATAATAAATACTTATTAACTTTTTAAAAGACAATTGTATAAATTGATAAAACTATGTGACATACTATATAGCCATCTTTGTTAGCAATGCATCCCCTTGACCTTTGACCTAGAAAATGAAACTTGACCTCTATTTAAAATGACCTCACAAGATTGACATACTTTTGACTTTCTGGTGCCACTGAGGAATGGCAATGATATGATGTAATCCTGGTATTGACTATTGATTACAGAGAATAAATTAATACATCAACTATAGTGTGACTAATCTCTCCCATGTTAACACTTGCTCTAATGTGTCACACGTGCGTCATACGTCACTGTTACATAGTTCAGTGTGATGCAGTTAGGATGAAACTTTTATAATATGTCTCAGTATACTAAGAGTCCACTTTTAAATTGTACACAATAATTTTCACCAAATAATTTTTGGCTCTTGGAAAAGGAGGGGGGTGGGGTGCTAATCCACTTCATTTGTTTCAAGTGTAATAAATAGGTTTAGAACTGACCATAAAAATTTCTTGCTTTGGAAAACTGTGTTTTGATCCATATGGCTTTTAATTATGACTTTGACCCAATACCATCTATCTATAAAGGTTTCTAATCTTCAATGATGAAAAACCATGTTAATCCTCGTGTACTTTACAAACACACACTGAGTACCAGTATGTGAAGCTGTGAAACCCAATGCAAAATACATGTTAACTCCAAACCCAAATATCTACCACATTTTAGTGCATGTAATACGTAAGAAAGGGGTTAACCAGAATATAATCAATATACACAGCCACTACTTACTTTTCTAAAATAACAAACTAATCAGACAACGTCTAAATTACAAATTTCACAAAACATCATTAATTCATCTTTTATTCTTCTAAATCAATTTATTTTCAATCAACTTTAATGCCAATTGACAGGAATGCCTTGTCATTTAATCATATTTAACATTCAGAAAATGACCATAAATTAACTGTATATCATTAGTTTTTCTAAAAATTGTTTGTACATATTTTCACTGATCATGATGCTGATCTTTAAAGCTACCGAATTGATCAAGATATAAAGCCACAACAATATGAATTATTAAACTTGTGTGCACGTTATCACGATCAAATTTAATATTCAAACAAAATTTGTTTCAATTAATTTAGTGTAAAGTGTAAACATGGTAAATAATCCAAAAAAATTACAAGAAAATTTTCTCTGATTTTCCAACAAATTAAAGCAAAAAATTTCCATAATATTACGTTTCAGAAATTAATTTCTTTTGCAATTTTACATTTCTTTTTGCGCAGCTGACTACTCAATAATGCACGTAAATCCCCTCTTATTTCAGAAATGGCAAAATAATGATTCAAATCCCTACACCATATTCTCCACCTCCAACCTTCATCCTGGGCCTGGAGCATCAATATTCCCCGAGTCAGAAAAACGCAAACTGTGTATTAAAAACTATATAGAGATCTAGTGAACTTAATTGAGAAATCCATTTGTAGCCACATTAAATCAAAATTCCCGCAAACTCTTCCAATTTAAGACCCCCTCTTCCTATTCATAAGTTATTAATCTGTGGCACTAAAAAACAGTCAACCAAATCAAAAGAACTATCAACCCGAGTGAATTGTACCGTTCATCAATTTAATAGCCGAGTTCCATTATGTGGAAGATACTTCGAGTGGTGTGATGCTGTAACACTAAAGATGAAGTAAAAGGCTTTGATGGTGACTAATTAATCGTCCTGATCATGACAAAGAAATGCAACAAATACAGACTCAGTGGTGGCATTAATGAAGTTTTATAACTTTAAATAATTGTTTAACTCCAGAATTCCATTGCTTACGCAAATTGATCTACATGAAAAAATGAGGAAACAACATTAAAACAACCAAAAAGGTAATAAAATATACAAAGAATACTTCTCTGAACTCAAATATACCCTCCGTTGAAAGCCTTAATTAGTTATATGGCAAGAAGGAGGACACAAGATTTATCTTCCTTCAATAAGTAAAAATATCTCAGGACAATGAAACAATAAAAATTTTGAATACATTTAGGATGGTAGAAGCTAGAGTAGCTGACTTTAGCTAGGCTAGATATATGCACACTTGTTATGACCAACCTATCATACCTACACCTTCAAGACTCTAGATAGTGCACACTTTATCTACACCAGACATTTGTTTTCAACTTTCATGTCAATGTTTCAACTGTCTTAGGAGGCAAATATAATTCTTTTAATTAAAAACCAATAGTAGACAAAAGTTAAAAAAATCTTCGATCACAGACTCAAAATCAACGTACCCTGAATTCAAAAATGTTTCCAATTTAAAAACTCTATAAAAGAAATAAAATTTTTATGACAGAACCTATTTAAGTGTTTCTTATTAGTAAGATTTATGATGTTTAAATTATCACTGTTTGGTGAAAGGACATCAAAATGCCCAGCCTTCATATCTGATAATCACACCTATCATAAATAAAAGCCATACATAGAAAACACTTTCTGATATTTATTCCTGACTGTCCTCTGACAAGGGTCGGAAGACCTAGAAGAGGAGAGAAAAGGTCATATGGAAATTTATCAGGGCTATCTCTAATAACTCACAGTAAATTGATTTCTTCTCCATAGACTCTCTCTCTCTTCCCTATCTCTCTCCCTCAGTGTATATTGCAAAAACACCAATCAATTTGGTCACAATCAGGAAATAAATCACCGAGGTTGCATATCACCATCTTTACATAAATTAATCTGTCATACCAGAAAACAAGAGAAACTCTAGAGAAAAATCTATACTGCACACAGTCTTAACATTTCACGACATAATGATTCTAGACAGATCCCTCAAACACTTCTCTTTTTCTTTTCTAATGCTAACGAGACACGGTCACAAAGAAAAAAAAAAAACGAGACTTGAATTAAGATTTGCGACCACCACCGGTTATTACCAACAAAAGCCAGCGTATTGATTGGGCGGTCCGTAAATATCG